TTCTCTTTGAAAAGGAAAGCTGCCTGCTTTCTTGGGAGGTTCTGACATATATTTACTGTATTTTGCAGGACAGATTCTTAGGTGCATTTGCTACATCCTTTTTTTTCTTTTTTTTTTTTTTTTCCCCAACTTTTGAAGCAGAGACAAAGGCAAGACCTGTCCTTGGGGCAAGAGGGAAGTAGCACTCCATGGCAGAGCTAAATGCACTTGATGTTTTCTTTCAGTAGAGTGAATTTACTTAAATGTTTAAATTTTATATTCTCATTCTTGCAGCTGTTGGGGAATGCATGTGGCAGTTACTGAAGTGAAGGAACATGTTATGAAGTAAAGGATCATGTGTGGCTCTACATTTATTGTAAAAACGGCAGATTCCAGGGAAGTCTCTGGAGACTTCCTTTGTGAGCCTGGGCCACTGTGGCTGTGCAGAACTTCAATTTTCAGTAGGAAAACCATGACATATTTGCCAGTACAGAAACATGGTGGGATGACTCCCATGCCTGGAGTGCTGCAATGATGGTCATGAGCCCTTCCGAAGGGACAGTGGGCAAGCAGAGGCAGAGGCTCTGTGCATGAGGGAGAGTTTTGACTTACAGAGCTCAAGGGCAGTGATGATAAGGTTGGGTGCTGGTGGGTAAGGATCAAGGAAAGGCCAACGAAGCGGACATCCCAGGGGATGTCTGTTACAGACCACCCAGACAGGATAAAGGAGCAAATGAAATGCTCTGTAAGGAGCTGGCTGGTGTTTCACAATCACTAGCCCTTGTTCTTGTGGGAGACTAATTTGTGGGATGTCTGCTGAAAACATGAGCAGGGGAGAGGCGGCAGTCTAGGAGGTTCCTGACTGTGTGGAAGACAAAGGACAGCTGGCAAGTGAGCTGTCCTGGTTCTGGCCAGGACAGTAATTTTTTGCCATATCCAGGAGGGGCATAACTCAGACCTGGAGGTTATCCTGTACCACCTCACACCTACACAGGTGGGTGGGCATATGGGGGTCCTTTCCATCCAGGGTAACATCAGATTTTGTGGGGTGGGCATTTGCCGGTGAATTGATCATCTTCCCTGCACACAACATTATTATCAATATTGGTACTGTCCATTTCTTACCTCATTGCTGTTCCCAGTAAATTGTTCTTATCTCAATCCTTGATCTTTACCTTTTGTGCCTCTAATTCTCATCTACCTTCTGCTGGGAGGAGTTGAGCAAGCTGTGCATGGTTTTGAGTGTTTCAGTAGAAGTGCTAAATGGGGGAACACCATTCCTGAACTACAACATGACCATATCAGGGGCGGTGGCCTCATAGATCTGCTGTATATGAAAAGAGAAGGGCTGGTGGGAGATGGTGGTTGGAGGCTGTCTTAGGCACAGTGAAATGATAGTTTCTAACCCTTGGTAAGTAAGGAACAGGGTCAGCAAAACCTCTGCCTTGGGTTTGTGGAGGGTGGGCCTTAGCATATTCAGAACACTGGTTCAGAGATTCCCTTGGAATACTGTCCTTAATAACAAAAGGGTCCCATGAAGACTAGCCATGCTTTAAAGAGGAAATCTTGAAAGGCAGAGGAGCAGACTGTCCCTATGTGCCGGAGGAAGACCAGCCTGGTCATCCTGTTCCTCCTGGCTGAACAGGATGCTTCTGCTGTAACTCAAGGAAAAGAGGTTATGACCCTTGAAAGGAGGGGCAGACAACTCGAGAAGAGTACAAGGATGATGGTAGGTCAAGGATCTCCTTTGGTAGGAGAGAAAATTAGGTAAAAGCTCAGCTGGAACTCAATCTGGCCACCACTGCGAAGTAGAAATTGTTTTTATAAATACTTTAACATCAAAAGGAGAGTCTAGGAGAATCTTCATTAGTTATTGGATGCATGGGGGGACATTGTCATTAAGGGCAAAGAAAAGGTTGAGGTACTTGGGTTCTTTGCCTCAGTCTTTAACAGAAAGATCAATTATCCTTAGAGCAACCAGACCCTGAGCTGGTACACAGGGACAGGGAGCAGCACTGACCTCCTGTAATCCAGGAGGGAGTAGTGAGCAACTTGTTTGTGAGCCATTAGACCCAAGTCCATGGGACCAGATGGGATTAACCCACGGGCACTGAAGGAGCTGGCAGGAGAGCTCACTGAGCTGCTCTGCATTTGTCATCAGTCCTGGACAGCCAGGGAGGTCTGGGTTGACCAGCATGAAGCCAATCCACAAGAAGGGATGGAAGGAGGATCCAGGGAGCTACAGGCCTGTCAGCTTCTGTAGTGGGATGGAATAGATCGTGAGTGTGATCACACAGCACATGCAGGAAAATCAGGGGATTGGGCCCAGCCAACACAGTTTTGGGAAAGGCAAGTCCTGCCTGACTTACCTGATCTCCTTTCATGACCAGGTGACCCACCTGGTGGATGAGGGAAAGCCTATGGATGTGTCTACCTGACCTTCAACAAAGCCTTTGACACCATCTCCCACAGCATTTTCCTGGAAAAGCTGGCAGCCCACAGCTTGGACAGGAGCACTCTTTGCTGGGTTAGAAACTGGCTGCACAGCCAGGCCCAGAGAGTGGAGGTGAACGGCGTCACATCCAGCTGAGGGCTGGTCACCAGTGGTGCTCCTCCGGAATTAGTATTTGGCCCAATCCTGTTTAAAATCTTTACTGATGATCTGTATGAGATCGACTGTACCCTCAGCAGAATTCACTGATGACAGCAAACTGTGTGCGAGTGTCCACCTGCCGGAGGGCAGGAAGGCTCTGCAGAGGGATCTGGACAGGCTGGATTGAAGGTGTGAGGTTCAATGAGGCCAAGTGTCAGGTCCTGCCCTTGGGTCACAACAACCCTGTGCAGGCTGGGGCAGGGTGGCTGGAGAGAGGCCCAGTGGAAAAGAGCCTACGGGTGCTGGCCAGCATCAGTCTGGGAGTGTGCCCAGGTGTCCAAGAAGGCCAATGGCATCCTGGCCTGTATCAGCAATAGTGTGACCAGCAAGGCACTGGTGATGCCACACCTTGAGATCTGCATCCTATTCAAGGTCCCAATTCAGGAAGAACACTGAGGTGCTCAAGTATGCCCAGAGATGATTGATGGAGCTGGTGAAGAGCCCAGGAGCAGCTGAGGGAGTAGGGTTTGTTCAGCCTGGATAAAAGGAGGCTCAGAGGTGACCTTACCATCTGCAACTCTCTGAAAGGAGGCTGTAGCCAGGTGGGGGTCAGTCTCCTCCAGGCAACCAGTGACAGGACAAGAGGACATGGTGCCTCAAGAAGCACCAGGGAAGGTTTAGGTCAGACATCAGGAAGATTTCTTTACAGAAGGGTGACCGGACATTGGAGTGGGCTTCCCAGGGAGGTGGTGGAGTCACCATGCCTTAAAGTGTTCAAGGAAAGACTGGACACAGCTGTGCCATGGTCTAGTTGATAATCAGTGATAGGCTGGATTTGATGACCTCAGAGGTATTTGCCAACCTAATTGACTCTGTGGTTTTGTTAGAGGAGACAAGACGCCTGGGAAGGGCACATGATGCTTCCAATAATAGGTTTTCACTTTTTCAATGTTCTCTGCAGCTATGCAGTAACCTGCCTGCCCACCAAGCAGAGAAGGCTTTAAGGCCTTGCAACACCTAAGGAAGTGGCACAGGGATTTGGCTAGAGGAGGGGGCAGGTCCCAGCAGGGCTTTTGGAGGTAGTCCTCCTTGTCATGGTTTCACAGTGCTGTCTTGGGCTCTTAAACTCCTCTATGAGGCAGATGGGGGTGGTCACTGACTACTGCAGCATCTGCCCCAGCCCACACCCTCCTGCCCTCCTGCTGCAGCACTTCCCTTTCCCAGAGGATAAGAGGTGGCAAAGGGACAGGGAGCATTTCTACACCAGCGCCTCCTTGTCCCTAGCAGCACATATGCTTGCCTCACACGGCTGCGGGGGGGGAGCGTGTTAGACCAGCTGCAGTGCAAGGAGGTGAAGGCTTGTGTGTTAAGTCAGGGTACCAGAACTGGGAAACAAAACTGCTGGGAAACAAAACTGCTCCACACCCCTCTGCATTTAACACCACCATAACCCAGCAAGACAACTTTGCTTCAGCGTCCCCCAAAGAGATTGGACAAACACTCTCAGCAGCAACCTGCTTCACCTTCATTTATTTTTGTTTTTATCTGTGCATTTTTTTCCAACCACACCACATTTCAACAGCATCTTTACACTATCCACCACTTCATATTTCAGCAGTTCCAAGTTTCTCCAGTTAGCGACTGGTATCACTACATAAGCGTTTTATTCTTTCCTACAGATCCAGCCAATTTCCCAGTCAAGTCAGGTGTACACCATTAGACCTAAAAGAAGATGGAGGTGTCCAACAGACTCAAGAAATGCAGCCAAAGCCCATGCTCAAAGCTTGGCATGATTGGAAGTTAAATCAGTTTTGAAAGACATTGCTATTTGGTATTAAAACACAGGATTACACTCAAGCATTTGCAACTGTATCCCCAGCATCAGTATTTGTCAAGGCTCAAAGAAAGTTACAGGTTTGCAAGTTCTAACTGCATTACCAGTTTTACAGAAGTCACATTTATAGTCAGAACCCTCACCATTAGTTAATATCAGAACTGATACTGACCGAAGCCAGTGAAAAAACTATTAAACTCCAATTAAAACCTTTAAAGTATTAAATGTTTCCTAAAAATTAAAAAAAAAAACCAACACAAAACCCTATTTGATTACTTAAGAACATTAACAGAGAAATATCTGAAGCATAAGTCCGTGCATGACTGACAAAATCCTTGCATAAAGCAAATTTACAACAAATAACAATACACCCTGAAAGAATGGCAGGGGGGGAAAATCAGTCAAGTCAGAAAGGGCAAGCAGAAAAAGTAGAAGTAACAGATCTAAGTCTATGAGGACATACAGGGTTGCTACAGGCCACACACAAAAATCAGATGAAAGGTCAAAGCAAAATGTTCAATTTTTTACCCTCCTTGCTTATTCAGGAGGTCATTGGTCAATGTACAGATGAAATGCATTTCTACGTATAATACCTAAAAAAAATAATTTGTACAGGAACAAAATTACTCAAAGCACGTAATTTCCTAAGCTAAAACTAAACAGCATTGAGTATAAAATTCTTTAAAACATTCACCTGCAAAATGAAGAGATCATAAACAGCTTGGAAGCCCCCTGCATGCTGACGGACCTGAGCACCTAAGGCAGTGTCTCTGCTGCTCACTGTGGTACAGAACACTCTGGTTTGGCTCTTATGTACCTCATGTTACTGGCCTAACTTAAAACTAAGACTGCTCTACTTTCAGTTGTGTTCTCAGTCTAGGCCTCTCCTGTAATGTGTATCGCTTAATTCAGCATTAAAACACTTCTCATCAAGACATGGGAGCAACGTGCTGCTGTCATGTTTAAAGCGAGGGAAGCCTAGCAGATGCAACAGTTGTTGCCAAGCCAGATGAGGTGCGAGCACTTGGTTCATCCACTGTCACTAACAGAAAGATTTCTGACATCCTGCAGGCCTGCAGGTCCAGCCCAGCACAAATGTGACAGTCCAATGAGTTACAGGCTGAAAGAAAAAAGCAAGCTCAGCCCTGTCTGGGGCATCTGGGGCTGGAGCTCCCAATACCTAGGTAAGGCTTGCGGCATGGAAGTCAGAAGTTTGTTCCACACCAACGCTTGCTTACTGTCTCTATTTAAAAGAGAAGAACTGCTACCAAGAGCAGTTCATGATTTCTTGACCACAACGCAATAAGAATTGCATTTTTCAGAAGTGGTCCATGAAGTTTCTCTACAACTGTTTATAGATACTGTAATAAGACACTAGACAATACATTTATAAAACATATTTCAATTGTACTATATGTTTTTTCAAACTGTGAAAATCTATCTGGCTTGGTAATAAAACAAATTTTTATGCTCTATGCTACTTTGAAAATGTGTTTCACATGCCCAAAATTAAGACAGTTTTCCTATGTCATATACTAGAGAACTTATCCCACTGCTCACTGAGAAGGTGCATCCCCTTTCATACTCACAAAACACTACGAATTGTTCCTCATTTCTGCAATTAATCTGATTTAAAGGACAAGCAGAGGTAACAAATTCAATTGCTTGGGGTTGGCTTCTTTTGTTGCAAGGTTAGAAATATTTTTTGGGGGAGGAGTGTGCCTGATTTTTATATAGGCAAGAGGGGAGAAATAAAATTACCATTAGAGAAGAGAAAAGTCAAACTAAATTAAAAGACAATAAAAAGAATTAATACTTTACTTCACAAATATCCCCTATTAGTCATAACTTTTAAGGCTTACAATGCTTACACAGTTTGTTTTTTTTTTAGAACACTCTTTTGTTGTATACAGGAGCACGTGAAAGCCAGTTTTAGTAAAAAAAATTCTTCCATCCCCATGTTAAGTTTTGCCATTAAAAAAAAAAAAAAATTTCACTAAAGTCCTGCAGACAAGACTCTGTCCACGGATGATCCCTCAGGCCTGCAGAGCACAGAACTGCTGAAACACAGCCAGAATGTGGTGGTCCAGTTCAGCTGTAAACAGGAGGTTCTCTAGTGTCACCATGTACTGCTGGATTATCTGGTGGTGCTGGCAGATAAAAAAACCAAAAACAAACAACATATGTTTACTGCTTTTACATTTATATCATCAGAATAGGCAGAGAAGTCAAGATATGTAAGAACCACAAGTGTTCTAATCTGAATTGTTTAGCACATCTAATTTCCACAACACAGAAGCCATGGATAAGAAAAGCATGATATAGAGGCACTGCTGACCACAAGCATGAAGCCTGTACTGAAATCCTGCCTTGTGCTCCCTGTAACTCCTCCCTCATGGATACTGAGCTGTGTGTAGGATCCAATGCCACTGCAGGTATCTTGGGAGAATCATGGTATTTGCTTTCCTCTGAAGACATCTACTACCAGGGAAGGAGTCATCCCAAGGGACAATTACACCAATGCTTCCGTTCTTCAACAGATCTTGTCCTCACACAGATATAACCTCCTGTAACTAATCACTTTCATCCAGCCACCTGTGCTTATTAACTGATTTAATACAGAGCCAAATATTCAAAAAACATGTTTCATAGATATTTACACATCTCACTAAAAGGAATCCTGCAATATTTTAATTCACTTATTTAAAACACGTCTATTTTAGCATTCTTGCTTGTTCACAACTTTGCCCTAACTAAAAACATGCAGTTAAGTGTAAATCGGTGAAATTCATAACCACATCTTGAAATATTTTTGCAGTACGCTTACAGTGAGGAAATTCTGCACTCAGGATCAGTCACTCCACCTGACTGCGGCAGGGATTTGGCCAGAGCCAGAGAGCTGTGACCTGGCCCCACACCAGCCCCTGGGGAAAAGCTACTGCTGCCACCTACTGCTACTCCCGGGGAGCCTCAGCCCTCCAGCAGCCGAGCTTTCCCAGAGAAGCACGGCCCCGCCAACACCCTTCCAGCTGAGAAATGAAACTTACCTGCAGGAAGATCTGCTGCAACCTCTCTATACAGCTCTTGTACCAAGGTGTAAATACATCAATTCCACCAGTCTCGCAGCGCACCAAGTGCTCCGTTAACAGCATAATGAAACGCTGCAGTAGGGGAGAAAAAACCCAAACTTGTTCAGTCTCATTAAACTAAAGAAGAATCCTAACCTAAGGTAAGAGGATATGGGTGTCAGAAGCTTTGAACAGCACTGTGAGAATAATTATTTTGCTTGGCAAATACTGAATTTAGTATGAAAATAAACTAGTTACCTTCTGGTTGTTCAGGAAATTGTGTGCTAGCAGAACTCCTCTCTTCCTAAGCACTTAAAACTCATCAGATCCTGTTCCAAACCAGTCTTTACAGAGGGATGATCTGGATTGACTCTAACCCATGGTGAAGTCATCAACCCCTTCCCATACGATTATTCCAAGAAAATGCCCAAGATAGTAGTGATGCTGAAAACTTATAAATCAAGTAACTTTGAAATTAAACTGAGAAGACACTTTGACCATCATTACCTGGAATATAACAAGAAAGAGATTCTTCTGCTCACTCTGGGCTGACTCTACTTTTTCCTGCAAGCGCTCTATCTGCTCTTCCAGTGGTCCATCTTCCCGATCGGTGCTTCGGTCATCATCGTCATCGTCATCATCACTGTCTCGCTGTAAATGACAACAACACGGGACTTAAACAGCAATTTGGCAGGTGTGGATACCATTAATGCCCTCTAGTTCCACCTGTGAAAACGTCTGCAGAACTACTGAAGAGCAGCACACAATTCTAGATAAAAATTTGGAAGGAAAAATTCTAATATGGGAACACCCTGGAAAAAAAATTACCAAGATTTCAGAGAAACTTAAGCAAGCACAGAGACTTATCAGAATCACGGCCTTTTCCTCCAGGAACGTGCTGGGGCTGACAGCCCAGCTGAGGTGTCCCTACACCAGGGCATGCAGCGTGAGCAGCAAAGAGGAGGAGTTGGAAGCCACCGTACTGCTGGACAGTTTTGACCTTGCTGTCACTCCTGAAACTCGGTGGGATGGATCCCATGACTGGAGTGTGACTAACAATGGCCACAGGCTGTTCAGAGGGAAGAAAGAGACACAGAGGGATTGCCCATCAAGAGCTGAGCGTGAGAGTCTCTGAAGAACAGGCATGAGCCGGTGTGAAGCTGGTGGGTGCTGATCCCAGCCCGGGCAGCACAGGGAGCCTTTGGCGGTGCCTGTGCCCGGCTCCGGCCAAGCAGAGCCCGCGGACGGAGCCTTCCCGCTCCAGCTGCAGGAGCACCCTGCTCACGGGCTCTGCTGCTGCTGGGGGACCACAGCACCCTGCCCAGGCTGGAAAAGGAGCTTTAGGCAATCCTTGAGGTTCCTAGAAAGCATGGAGGATAAATTCCTGACGCAGGGAGTAGCGAGCCCTACAACGGGGGAGGTGTCACCTGGATCTGTTGGTCACCAGCGCATGGGGGCTGATGGGGAATGGCAAGCCAGGAGACAGCCTGGGATCAGTGATCATGCCTTGGTGGAATTCACAGTCCTGAGGGATAGGGGTCAGGAAAGGAGTCAAGAGAGGGCCCTGAATTTCAGGAAAGCAGACTTTCAGCATTTCAGGGATACAGTCAATGAGATTGCCTGGGAGACTGCCCTCAGGGACAAAGGAGAGGAACAGAGCTGGCAAATTTTGAAGACAGCAAGAGCTTGCAATTCCCAGGAGCAAGGAATCAGACAAGGAAGGCAGGAGGAGACTGACACAGCTCAGTAGGGCACTGCTGGTCAAACTAAAAGGAAATAAGCAAATGGAGAAGCAGTGGCAACAAGGGCAGGTATCCTGGGAAGAGCATAGTAGGGCTGGGGTGGGGAAGGCCAAGGCAAAGCTGGAACTGAACCTGGCAAGGGACACAAGGAATAACAGGACAGTATGCCTCCCAAAAAAGGGAGGCCAAAGAAGGTGTGTCCCCTGACAGACAGTGCTGGTATGCTGGTAACAACAAATGAGGAGAAGGCTGAGGAACTCAAGCTTCTTCAAAATAACTTCTTTTCATGCCATCTTCAATGGTAACCCCTCTTCCCACATCCCTTGAGTGGACAAACAGCAAGATGGGGACTGTGGGAGCACAGTCTTTCCCACTCTAAGTAAAAATCAGGTTCGTGGCCACCTGAAGTACCTAAAAGTCTACAGGAGCCAAGGAGATGCATCCTAGAGTCCTGAGGCAACGAGCTGATGTAGGATGTAGTTGCCAAACCCCTCTCCCTGACATTTGAAAAGTTGTGGCTGTCAGGTGAAACCCCAGGTGACTGGAAAAGGGAAAACATTGTACCCATCTTTAAAAAGGGTAGAAAGGAGGACCCCTGGAACAGCTGACCTGTGAGCATCACCTCTGTGCCTGGGAAGATCATGGAACAGATCCTGCTGGAAGCTGTGCTCAGGCACATGGAGGACAGGGAGGTGATTTGGGACAGCCAGCACGGCTTTACCAAGGGCAAGTCCTGCCTGGCCAGCCTGCAGGCCCTCTGTGATGGAGTGACTCCCCTTGTGGACAAGGGAAAGGAGGCAGATGTCATTGATCAGGACTTTGACATGGCTCCCCACAACATCCTTCCCTCTAAAATGGAGAGAGATGGATTTGATGGGTGAACTGTTACATGAATAGGAAATTGCTGGCATCCAGAGGGTAGTGATCAACAAATGTGGAGTCCTAGTCAGCAGGACATCAGTGACCAGTGGTGCTGCCCAGGGATTTGTACTGGGACCAGTGTTATCCTAATTCATGACATGGACAAAGGGGTCAAGTGCACCCTCATCAAGTCTGCAGATGACACCAAGCTGTGTGGTGCAGCTGACATTCCTAAAGGACAGGATGCTGTCCAGAGGGATCTGCACAAGCTCAAGAAGGGGCCCACAGGAATCCCATGAGGATCAACAAGGCCAAGTTCAAGGTGCTGCACCTGGGCCAGGACAACCCCCAGTATCAGGGGACAGGCCGGGCATGAGCAGATGGAGAGCAGCCCTGTGAGAAGGACTTGGGGGTGCTGGTGGGTGAGAGGCTGGACATGACCCAGCCATGGCACTCCCAGCCCAGAGAGCCAAACGTGTCCTGGGCTGCATCCAGAGCAGCGTGGGCAGCAGGGCAGGGAGGGGATTCTGCCCCTCTGCTCTGCTCTGCTCTGGGGAGAGCCCACCTGGAACCTGCATCCAGCTCTGGGCTCCCAGCACAGGGAGGTCACGATGATCAGAGGGATGGAGTATGTTCATCCCTCTGAAAGGCTGAGAGAATTTGGATTGTCCAGCCTGGAGCAGAGCAGGCTCTGAGGTGATCTAACTGCAGCCTTCAAGTATTTGAAGGGAGCCTCCAAGGAAGAGGTACTAATTACAAGAGCATGCAGTGGTAGAACAAGGATGAATGGCCTTAAACTGAAAGGCAGTAGGTTCATATAAGAAATAGAGAAGAAATTCTTTACTGTGAGAAGGGTGAGGCACTGGAACAGGTTGCCCAGAAAAGCTCAGGATGCCCCATCCCTGAGACTGTTCAAGGCCAGACTGGATGGAGCTCTGAGCAAGCTGGTCTAGTGGGGAGTTGGAAGTGTCCCTGCTCATGGCAAGGGCTTAAAACTAGGCGATCTCCAAGGTCCCTTCCTACTCAGGCCAATCTGTGATTTCACAGTTTATTTAAGGGAAAGAGTGAAAGGCAATATGCCTGCTAATTTTATCATTACATAGTAACAAACAACTTTGTTTTAAAAAACAATCTGGCATAGATTTTTTCAAATTGTATTTACTATAGCAAGACAGGTAATTAACTAAAGAGTTCTGAAATCTCAGGGTTTTAAAAAATAATGCACCTGGTGCAAATTCTCTCCTGCACTTGGTGCAAGAACTCAGATGAATCCAGCTAGTTAGCACAACAGGAAGGCTGAAGACTGCAGCCACTGTTATGAAGTGGGTACTCCCTATATTCATGATCAAAAAGGTTACTCTCAAGACTAGAAAAGGTCAGCACAGAAACAGATCTACTAACTAGGACCATGACATGCTTCACTGCATCAAAAACAACACAACACCACCCACAAAATACACCTAAAAACCAGCTCAGGTGACTAAGTCTTAAACAAGACTACAAGGCATAGAGGAGGAAAGACAGGATCTGATGGATTATGGTAAATTCAAACACAAGACACTGCTTTAGTATCATATAGTTGTTTCTGTGCAAAGACATCCATACATCACCAGCTCAAAACTTTCAATATCTGTAAAAGAAGCATGTGTAACTTGGGATAAATGCGTTAACTCACCTACAGCATAGGAAATGAAGTTCATAACGACAAGGCAGGTACAGCTCTGAATCAGTATAAAAACCAAAAACTTACCAGAACAAATGAGAATTTAATTTTATCTCTATAGGAACTTGCCTTTTTCCCATCTATAGAGGTTTCCTGAACTCAAAACACTGAAGGACCAGATAAATCATGTAAGCATTGGACTCATTCCATGGTAAGGGAACACTCTTCATGCTGGGGAAATGAAAACTTCCTCTAAAAGGAATGGTCATGCAGCAGAGCAACAGCCTGCAGAACTACTCACTGTTGCATACAAATGTTTCTTCCTGGCACAATACTCATTTAAAGTACTAAGTAATAAAGAGCTGCAGCAAGAGACAAGGACAGAAATTAAAACACTGATATATTTAGAGATGCCAGAGAAGCTCTTTGCCTCACAGTAAGATCAATGACTACACCTAAATGTTCCATAATCACAGGCATTTATTAACTGGTCATCAATGTAGACTGAGGAGGCAGCCAGGATGGCTGTTGCTGTGAGTGAAGGAAACAAGATGAAGGCACTAGGAAGAACCAACACTGGCAAGCTGGGAGTTCATAGTGATCTCTCAACAGAAGTTTCTGGACAAATGACTGACTTGAGAGCTTTCTTCAAAAAACATCAGCAAGCTCTGTGTCACATTTTGACATTAACCTCATTCATAATTTTGGAGCTAGCTAAGGGTTTTCTGCAGGTAAACACACTTACAGACCTCAAAGAAACACAGAAATTCTCTCTTGCTTTCTGCAATTCAGCGTATTTATATCCTGACTGAATTCTGTCATAACTAAGTCCTGCATTCAGGCAAGCTTCCTCAGGCCCCATCTTTTCCAGCTGCCACAGATGAAGACACTCACTCCCTTTTACTGGCCCACTTGAGACAACAGAACACAACAGCAGCTGGTTCCTCAACAGTTTGTTGTATTTAATAATGCAAGAACATGCAACCATATTCAGGAAAATAAGTTGGAAGAAGGAAGTGCCATGCCAGTGTCAGAATCCAGCAGCATCCATCAGAAGAACAGTAACAGCCAACTTCTCAATTTCAAATAGCTGTTTCTGTGCACTTCTGCATGGAAGCCACAAGAGCACTCTTTTATAGAATTTACTATGAATAATTTGTAACTGTTCTTACTGTTCTCTAATAAGGTAATTGGAATCCAGATTAGAAGGCAAGTGGAAGTTCACATTGGAAGAGAAACTTGTGAGAGAGAACTTGAACAGACCAAATACGTATACATGCCTTTAAAAGGTTTTACTGAATTCTTAAATTACAGCTAGGACCAAGAACATGCATCTGATTTTTGATGTCTCAGTGCTACAGCTGACCACACCTCTGCAGACATACTTCCTGAACAATCATACATATTCAGTCCTTCCCAAAACTAACTGAGTGTCTGTAGATCAGCATGCAGGCTTATATAACTTGGTTTAAGATTTACAAACAAATTACTCACTCTTTTGTGCTGCCTGGCCAATCTTGCTTTGGTCTCCTCCAGTTCTTTATGAATCTTCAGGACATGCTTATTCATCTTACGAATTGTGGAATGTAAGATCTCCCAGATATAAAACCTAGGAAAGACACACAGCTCAAAACACCACATTACATACTACTTGAAAATAGGAAATTAAATGTCAGTTTTTAACAGAAAAATATAAGTGGGAGAATTAGAAAATCTACATATCATTTAAGGAGACATCTATCTACCAGAGTGAATGAACACTCAGCATATAGGAAAGCATACTTGTAATGCAAGAAATCTTAGCCATCAGCTCTTGCCTATTTGTTGCAGTACACTTCAGAGTCAGAATTTTATTTCATATACACACCGCAAGAGTATTAACACCAAACTTGACTCCTCAGATCTAACAGTTCTGATCTCAGTTTGCAGTGCACCTGTGGCGGCACAAGTTACATCCCACCCCAAGGGCCAGGACGTGCCCAGCCAGCAGCAATACGACACACAGCAACAGACTGTCTAGCAACAGCTCCACTTCAGCAGGCTTAGACACTGCTAGCAAAATTACACACTAGCAGCAATCTTGCACTTCATGCCAACATTCATACCCCAATTCAGAAAGAAAAGTGTTGAAGTACGTATTTTGTAGAAAGGGCAAAAGCCCAATTGTACCTTATTCCACTACTGAGTTTTCAAAGATTGTACTATGTACTAGAGAGTTAAAACAGCAAATCAAAGACAAACAACCCAAACCAAGTTCTTGTTACCTGGTAAAATCATGTGCCAGCTCTGAAGAAAAGATCCAGTTTGCTACTGCAGCACAGTCAACAATTTGTGTCCGAATCATCTTGTCCACAAGCACAGCAATCATCTGTATTTTGTGAAAGACAATACATACAAAATATATGTAAAACATTCCATCCTCACATAAAACCAGAGATGATTCGATGCAACACTACATCAAGTGGTATTACTGAGTAATTTCAAATACTTTAACAAACTGGGTAGTCTAGCTTAAAATATTTCAAATGAGGGGATCTGTATCAATTACATACAGCATTTTAACTCTCTTAACAACCATACCTACTTCTGAAACTATCACTCCTTATTAGCATACATACTCCCATACAAAAGCAAAAAATACAAAAATCAGAGCTAGAACTGAGGCCTTGAGAGACACGAGCACTAGTATTTGACATCAAAGTACTCCAACCAGAGTACATACACCTGTCAGATCACCATAATGAAGGAGCTGCTGTTAGCCTACTCTCCTGGAACTGCAACAGCCCTCAGACATGACATTAAGCTGTTCTCGACAGGGCACATTAACCTCAGGATAGAACAAACAAGCATTGTGGAGCCACTGGAAAGGTTTACTTGCTACAGGCACTGCCATGATTCTGAGGGAGTTGCAAGCCATCTAGCATGCAACTTCAAAGAAGAGTTACTGACTAAAGAAGACGCAAGCTGTTCAGAAAAAGGGGCTTATCTTAGTTACTCATGTGATTGAATGCCACAGTATCTAAGAACCACAGCCTGCACTGTATTTATCCTTACAACCACCCGTTGTCAAATGAGGAAGTGTAACAAAGCTCCTTATAAGGAAGGAAAATTAAAATAACTGAATGAATCATACAGAGGACTCAGCACTCAACTTTCAAGTCCCAGGATAGTATCCTATGTTCTATTTGTCTTTCTGCATTGCCAGGAAGGATTTCTGATTACTTAGCCCAGTCTTCCAAAAACCACACATCTAGGATTTCAAGAAAATATTTAACCTCAATGTTAGAGTTTCTCTTTATGAAGTCACCACCACTAGCTTGCTTTTAAATCCAGAGACTATTGGCTCCTGCTATTAAGTCACTACCTGCAGCACAGACCACTCATTAGTGCTTTAAGCCATAAAGCATTGTTGGTCTGAACCAAATCAAAGGATGTTCCCACAGACATGGGAATAGGGTGTACATCCTGAAAACAGACTCTGGACAAGTGTCCTGCTCTGAAGGCACCATTCCTTCCATGCGACAAGGAGGTTGAGGACTTGGGAGTAAGAAAAAAGTTCTTCATCAGAAGCAAAAACCACTGAACTACAGTAGAAGCAAGAGAAGAAGATTAAGTAATGATTAAGTAAAAGAGCAAATAGCAGACCTTCCTGAGTTTTGTACATGAGATTTTTTAAAGGGATCTTGATTTATTAATAAAAATGTAACATGACTATCTAGTCTGGTTTTGAAACCTCCATCTCAGTTTGGTAATGCTGTGATACAAAGGAATGAAGAGGAAGCTGATTCAGGTGTTACACTGCAGTTATGAAATTTCTTCTGATCCAGTAAAATGGCAGCAAAAAGTAGGTCAGACTGTAAATGTCACATTTGCAAGGTCAGTAAACTGGGTAAGAAGTTAAATATATATTTTTTTAAATCCTCATTTTATGATGTTTTTAAGAGATGTAACAGCTTGCACCAGTATCTTCTAGGTGCTCATTTTTTCCACTAGAGAATGGACCACAGGTCTAGTAGCAGATGCAAGAATTACTCCTGGTTCTCAGTGGCATCACTTCTTATAGTCTTGCCTGTGCAACTGCGAGGCACAGTTCACTTTCCAGCAACACAAACAAACTGGCAAGGAATACATGAAGTAACTAATGCAGGCAAAGTCAGCCCAAGTTCCTCATTGATTTCTATTCATAGAATGACAGCTGATGTTAAACACAATTGCTGAGAAGAAACAGAACAGCTTAAACAACTGAGACATCTTTTGTAGGTCTTTTAGGGTGTTAACTCCTCTGGCTCGAGAGTGAACACATTATCCCAGCGCTGTCAGACTGATCCTGTTCTGAACAGCCACTACTGCAGCTCTACTCACCCTGCCCACACACAACAGTGACTCCAGCATGAGCTCTGTGTAATAACTGGACAGCTTCCACTAGCAGTTGTTGTGGGGGGAAAAAAAAAACCCTAAAATCTCTAGGCTTCCACATTTCTAGGATTGTGGCCTGTTTTAAAAATGAGATCTACATCTTGTTTAAATTTATGTATTTATGTTGCTTTCAAACTTTGAACAAAGCCATGGTTTCAGCAAAAGTTAGTCTCTTGTTCAACAGCCAGCACAGTTTGAATCTGAGTCTTAAAGACAGTCCTTGCTCTTTCACAGTGAATTCTACCTGAGAAAGAAGCAGTACCACTGATGGCATATGGTTTATGGCCTTCATTTGAGTAGTAGCAACAATACAAAAAACCTAAACTTCTTTAGAATGACAGTAGACAAATCTTAAAGGATATAAAACAAACTGTACATTTTTTAATTCACATATGACCTCTGTGAGCTGAAACTCACAAAGATCCTTGACATTTCAGGATCTTACCTGTGGATGATTCTTCCAAACCTCATACACAACTCTCAGAACGTGAAGCTTCCCCTCATCACTTTCAGCAAGTGTTTTGAAGACTTCATGAAACCTTTTAATAGAAGTAAGTAGTCAACGGATAGGATGGGACCAGGTCAAAAGAGCAGCAGATATAAGGCAAGTGGTTTACATTGGCTAAAAGAAAATTATGTGACTATCTACAGCATTTCTTAGACAACTGTTCCCTGGAAAATATTACCATCCTGAGCTAAAATAGTCTACAAAGAAATGACACCTCCTAACAGCAACTTATATGCTAGTGGTGAACCTGCTTCCTGAAGCTAGGCTACATTTCTCAGGCTCTCAGAAGCAGGAGGCACTTTTCTGCTTCATGTGCTTATCTATACACAGCTGAACCAAAATTTGCTGCCTTTTTAGCCTTAGACCTTCCTCTTAACGTATTTCTCTAACTTCAGACACTTATCCTAAGTGCCTCTTTTCCAAGGAGAGGCTGCTAAAAGCACCTATTTTAGCAGTTACTCTGACTGCTACACTGCATTCATAGCCCAGCTTATTGTAATATAACTATAAAGCATAAGAGGCTCTTCTTGATCTCTTGGCTGCCACTGCTGTTGTGCAGCAGAGAAAATACAGTGGTCTAAGCATTTGAATCACCCTGCCTCTTTTACTCCTGACTGCAGGTTACTACCTGCAGCTTCTTATCAACATTGCCTCTGTAGAGCTTCCAGGTGCACGTTTTTTGTAGTAGTTTTATCTGTCTTTAGGGCCAGATAGAAAAATAACTCATTAAGTCATGCAAGTGACTACCTTTCATGTAACAAACCCCTTAATACCCACTTCAAACCACAAACGATTAAAAACATTTCTCTAATTTTGCTAAAAATGGTGCAGTAAATTCTTTGCAGTTCCAGCATATCTTTAAGGGATGAATTCTAAACTCTTTTAGTATGGATTTTACTCTGCTTTCGTAGACAGAAGAAATGAGCAGCAGACTATTTTGAAGTTTCATGTTTTCTTTTTCTTTCCTTTTTTTTTTTTACACAAATATAATTGTCCTAGATTCATATTCATAGTACAAGATATTGTGATGGTAGCTACCCAGTCATTGAAATGTAGGGAAATCCCTTTTTCTTTGCCATAATCAGCAAGTAAGCAATACAAAAATGAAGTAATTTTCCAAACCTGTCTCATTTATATCACATGACTGGAATGTATACATTTCTGTTAATTCCATTCCTAATGCATAATGCATCTACATGTATAATGTAGGATTTACACTACCATTCCTTCAGTAAGCATGTCATTAGCTCTCCTAGTCATATTGCTTTGTGGAATACCAACAATGCTGAAGCTGGCATTCCCCTTCTTTTATCATGCATTTCACTGTCAGAATTAAACTGTTCTGTGAGCCCCAAAATAATGCAGATGATATACTTACTTTGCCAGGGCGCTGAAGGAGTGGCTGAAAGACTTTGCAGCTAGATGGAGCAGAGTCTGAACAAAGACTTCTATTTTCAGAGGGTTGAAAGTAAATCCTTCACCTGCAAGTTATTTGAAGTTGAAACTATTAAATACTTCAAGTAAAGCATGTAAGCCACTCATACAGCTGTAGAGATAACTTATTGTTTTAGCTCATTTCACACGAGTTCCATACACAGAGCTTTGCAGGGCTGAGCAAGGAGCTAGTAAAGACTCCCACAAAATGTGCAGTTTCACGCTCCAATTTTGCCATGGAGAAGATGTGCAGAAACCTTTGTCACCAACATGAACTTCTGTCAGACACACAGCCACCCCACTAACATGTGACAGCACTGGTGGCAGCACAGAAAGTCAGCAAAGGAAACACTGCAGCTGTGCACCAAGATGAGGTCCTTGGAAAGCCATAAAGATGGGGGCATGGGTGAGGAGGGAGAAGGTAAGGATCACTAACATACAGAGGCCAACCATTTAGGATATAGGAGAGGGGTCCACCAGGCACGTACAGCAAATATGGCTATTATAGTGAATGGTGTCAGGTGCCCTCCTGAAGCTGAACATGGGCAGAAGGAAGAGCATTAACTAGTGGGTAATGCCAAAAGCGGATCAGGAAGCATGATAGTGGATCCCAGGGAAAAAAAATCCACCAGACCATGGTTGCTCTCTGCCTTGCAGCTGAACCCTTGCAAATACTACAAAAATAATGAAGCATTCGCTATTGTTTAGATCACTTCTAACTGCCTCTCACACCCCTCACTCCATAAAACACTCAGGCTTTAGGAATGAGTGCTGCCTGCGGCTGCAAGGCTTAGAGGAATGTGAGTAGTCCCTCTGTGAGACTTAATCTGTGGAACATGCCAGCCAGCAGGCTTGCTGTCTAATGTGTTGGGGGACTGCCCTGAAGGGAGGGAAGCTCTTAGGGCAGAAGCCCTGAATTTCAGAACTGCCCTCTGCCACTGAAAGCAAAGAGGATGTTAAATTCTTTTATTCCATCAATAATTGCAAGAAAACACACCTCAAGCACAAGGTTACCTCTAGGAAAAACAAGCAGGCCTCTGCATGTAAGATGTTCACAGAAAAAAACTAGCAGTGGTGTATTTACTGCTCAAATGAAACCACTACTAGAAGGAAAAGCATACAGGTCTGTGAACCAACACATTCAGCTCCAAAGCATGGCAGATCAGTCTACACATGGAATGAATGACAGTTTGTATCTTACCATCATCATCATCCTGGTTTGGATTAGGTACATCTTTTAAAATGCTGAAGATTTCATCATTGCTGGCCTTATTTTTAATTGCGATTGTTAAACAGAGTGCCACAGTATATCCAGGAAGAGACCCTGAACAAAAAACAAAAAAAGGTCAAAAACGTGGAAAGGCAAGTAAGCACTTTTAACATCAGTCTGCCCCTCAGAGAAACAAGAACCCTTCCCAGCTACACCTAAAGCTTGGTGTTTCTAATATCATTGTCAACCTCAATATGCCATAAAATTGATCAACACATTTTCTGGTCTTCATGTTAAATTCAAAATTTGGAGTAGAACTTTTAGATGTGAGCTCCGGCAATCATGTTCCTCACTAAAGCTCTACTTCAGTTTCCACCAGGTTTCTAAAAATACAATACTTCCTTGTTTTTCCTCACTATATCTTTGATGATGACACTTTTATGCTTAGGACTGTATTTACACTGAGCAATAAAAGGAATAATAAGGTCCCTCTCTACTTCAGTGTCTATGGTATCAGTTCTTTCTGTATGCTCATTAAATCATGTTTACAGGTAAAATATTCTAGTGCTCCATGAAGTTCAAAAAATAATTTCTCATTATCACTTCTGATGCTGATTTCCATAGTATTGTGCTTTAACAGGTGAAATAGATGAATTGTCTAATTTTAGACTTCTGGCAAATAATACTGCACCAGCAATAGTATCTTGATGTATCTGGATTTTCTTTGCTTCATAAGTAGCAGAAAGGATTAGAGAGATCCAGGCTTAATACATATTAATTGCTCATGTGAAGCATATTTACCCATACAAAAATCATGTATATTTGATCTGTATTCTTTTTTATCAAGACAACTCATATTACAGTCAGTTTAGTGTGCTCCCTTGCTGAAACACTTCTTCAACTTGACCACTAGTAATTTCAATACTTACTATTGCTCTCATCTCCGTATTTGTAAATGCACACTGGATTAGCAGGGCTGAGGACAGAAAAACTTGCAGGAACAATGTCTATTATTCGCTGATGGTAGGAGAGTCTGGAAATAACAAGTTCCACAGCAGTTGAATTAAAAAAGGAATAATACCACAGCTAATGAGTTCTTTATAATGTTTTTCTGTATGTAATGTCCATAGAACAAGATTCAGGATTCCTATACAACAGAATGGTAATTCTGCTGGGTAGTAAGAGCTGAATAAACCAAACTTATTAGAATATGCTTTCTATTTTAACTCTGTGATGTTAGAGTTTCATCTTCATACAATTAATTTGCCTTGTGAAAAGGCTGCCTGGTAAGAAATTTTATGCAAAAACCTGTGCTGCAGAAAGCCAGTAAGATGTCAGTACTCAAAGCAGGAAAAATATTAAACCAGACACCTTCATTTTACTTTCCAGGTTCATTTCACTCTCACAAAGACTTAATTTGCTATCAGAGTTTTCAGTGCAATGGAAGACTGCCGCAGAAAAAAATGCATTTGTTGCGCAGCACAATGCTTTCACACTTTGGATACAGAATTCACCCAAACCTCGATTGTTTTCACATAAGATGCTGAACAACATAGCCTTTTCCAACTACTTCGCTCTTCTACACCACTCTAATGTCAACAATTTTAAGCCCAGACTACTTATCAGAACTACTGATTATGTAGTCTTGTTGAGTTTGGAGATTTTGTTTGTTTAGACAATTGTTGCTTCGTTTAAAGTAAATGAACATCAGAGGCACCTAGAAAAATCAAGACTAAGTTCTTAGTTTTTAATACAATTAATGGTCAGTTCCCTCTATTTCTGTGAATGTTGAATAGTTTCCACGAATATAGCCCAACTTCTCTTTCTTCCCATGCGTATGGTGAAGCATGTCTTTAAGTAACTACGGTGTGCATGGATAGCTCACTACTGTCTGCATCACCTGTTTCTCCCTCACTTTAAAGGCAGTGTCCTACAGCAGGTAAACCAGATTAAAAATCATACAAAGAGACTCATCTTTTAACTGAAAATTAATTTTAAGAATGGATGTGCCCAAGACAAGAGTCAAGTTAAAAGGAATCTGGCAGTATTCAGATGAAACTCTTCCTTGAATGCAACTATGGAAAGATCATACTTACCGCATACACTTTTCCAAAACCTCTCTCACAAATTTGGGTTTGGGTTTTTCAAGGTCCTGAGTAAGACAATCTGACCTATCAAATGACAAAACACAATGGTTTTAGCAAAAGCATTTTGTTTTGTTAGTCTCTTTTTGGCTTGGTCTGATAGAACAAAGCCTGAAGACAATGGGGGTGCTGGACCATTGGAGTGTAGGCACTTTAAGCCATGGAGGTAAGTTAATCACTCCTCCCTTACTGGCAATTAGCATAGCTGGAGTTTCATCTCATCTCTGTGTGATAAATTTTCAAGTAACCTCCCTTCCCCCACCACACTAAAAATAATTTGTGGATATGGTTAGCTGGCTTCCCCTTTCCTTAGGAAAAGAACCTTGAGTGATTTCACAGTCTGTTTCTCCCTCAGCTCTTCTGGCTGATTTCAGATGCATTGCAGGTAAAGAAAAGCGTGAAATACAGTTACTTGCAAGCTTTGTGAAAAAAGTCTCTTGTGAGAGAGATTTACAGAAGCACTGCTATCAAGGAACATCCAGGCAAACTAAAACTAACTCTTTGAAGACTGCTGCCTGGTCAGTTACCACGGATGCATGCCAGGATAGCCACCAAGCACTCAACTCCACAAGAGGACAGTGCATGAAACTCAAATAAAGCCACAGAACCCTATTGGAAGGCTGAACCCCTCTCCACAAGGACTCTCAGGCAGATAACCTACAGAAAGCAGGTACAGTCACAGGCTCTGGAAACTACTCCATGGAGGACTATGGCCTCAAGGGAATCGCCCTTGCCACATGGGTGCCCAGAACAGAAATCTCAAGGCTCCAGGGAGCTTCTGCTAGAGATGCAGGTTCAAAATCTGGCCCAGTAGTAACAGATGGCAGGGCAAACTCTGAAGGAACTTCAGGCACTAGGATTTAGCAGGTGGGAAAAAGACCACAAGGTCTGAAGGATAAAAGTTATAATGAAAGGTTTAGGGTAGGGCAGAGAGCAAAACAACAGAATGAATTCAGGATACAGAGTCAGCACAAACCATTGAAGTAAAGAAAAGGTATGTGGAGGCATTTTGGAAAGTTTGCTAGCAACTGACAGAAAGTACAGGACAAATTAAAGGGATCACATTTCTGCTTCCCTTCTTTAAGGAATGCACACACTGGCTTGAGTTCACTAGGGACAATACAGTGATTAAATAGATCACCAAGATAATCTGAGTGCTGGTGGACAGATAACAAAAAGTCTCTGATAAGCTAGAGGAAAGCCATTAACAAAGCCACCATACTGTGACACCTTCTGGATGTGTTTGAAATGTTAAAGTTTTAGCAATGTCAGGTTTGAAACCAAAGGATAGAAACTTACCAGTCTTCCCAGCTCCAACGAAACTGAAAGTTGCTCAAGTGGTGCGAAAACCAGTTAATAAATCTTAATTAAAAGAAAAAAAAAAAAGCTCTGTTCAAAAGTCAGAAATGTAGAAAAACTTTCAGTTGAGCTCTTAAAAATGCATTTTATTTTTCCAAGACAAGCCTAAACTCTTTAAGCTATTACAGCAATAAACAGGTTGTAAAACCTGAGATACAAAGGACTCAGTCTGGAGAGTCACAAAGGTTTTATGGACAAATAGCCTATCAAGTATTCCACATCAAGAGATCAAGTATTTAACAACCAATTAAAATGTAAAATTACTGTGAATAAACAAAAAAACAACTTTCACATTTTCAATGAGTCATTAAGCACTCTGCTACTCAATGCAGACTTTACTAAAAGGCTGAAATCACCACCATTCTCCTCCTCTGGGTGGCACATATGCCATCAACTTCTCTTCCAAGTAATGCCCCCAACCACTAGGGAGCAGGCACAGTGTGCAGCAGAGTGCAACAGTGCAACCATGAACAATTCTTAACTCAGAAAAGTTGTCACCGATCTTAACTGTCCCACACAGACAGCTGGACTTGTCACCTGCGGGGGGGCATTCCTGGGAGGAGAGGCAAGCAGTAAACCCTCCACCTTCTCTGGAGATCACTCAGAGCCAGAGCTCATAGAACATTTTGAATAACATCAGGTAGCTCTAACAAGCTACTTTCTGATTACTCTTTCAACAGCCTCTTTGTTTTCTTCTACACTGGATATCAAGGAATGTTTTCCACCCTCTCCAAAACACACATACCTGTCCACACATGTGGTATTCATTGTATCCAAACGCATGTAGAGCATTTCTGTGGCTTGTGCAAGCTTAAAGTTTCTTATTAAGGCTTATAAAAAAGAAGTAGGTAAATCAGATGTTTTTCCTTTCCAGTTTTAGTAGAATGTCATCAACTTTTTGTATTGGAAGCTCCCTGAGCCTACCCCAAAATCAGGTAAATCCACAGTAGAAAAAGCAAAGAATATTGTGAGTTCCACCCTGTAATCCCAACCTCTTCTTCCATTATGGCATTAGCCATTAGCCAACAAGACTGCTGGCTTCTTCCACCGAAGGACAGAATTCACATCATGCAACAAGCAATGCAAGTGTTACAGGAAAAGTTTCCTGCAGATACTGTGAAATATTAATACTATTTATTAATAGTAGTTATTAAAATACTAATAATTAAAATAATATTAAAATATTAATAGTATCTATTACAATCCCATCAGCTACAGAACAAATAAAGACTTCATTTCATAAATGCTCCTCAGGAGCACAGAAAGGATACAACTTGTGGTAAGGAGCCAGGCTGAAGTTTGCACAGCTCAATCAGCAGCGTTGTGTACATGACTTCAATATGTGGTGGAGATGGCAGCTGAAACAACTCTGCAAATATTACCTGCGGGAGAGGAAATCACAGAATAAGAGCACAGTCCATTGTGTCCTGCACAACTCTCAGCTTCTCAATAGTGGCCATCAATCTTAAATAATTACCTATCCCAAAAGACCTATATTTTTCTATCAAATGCGCATTCCAGGAAAAAGAGAAAGAACCAGTAAGAGGCAGCTGTAACACAACACTCTACTAATACACTCCACTCTAACTGCTCTTATCAGTTCATGCTAACACAACACCAGCATTACACTCTATTATGCCTAACAAACGTAGCATGTAAGTGTAGAAATGGGCATAGTTATAACATGACCCACTGCAGTGATCTGGGAAATGCAGAAATAATCTGATCTTGTTGAGTAGTGAATAATGAAGCCTAAGCATTCTTCTTAAATATATGAAAAGAATATATGCATTAAAACTACATTTTTATCTTTTCCATTATGTCCTCTTTTCTCCTATATAAAACCATATATAAATAAAGTCACAACTTTAAACTGAGAATTACAACAAGCATTTCATACAATAAATACATATGCTCGCCACCCCTTGGGAAAACCCTTCTACGAAACATGAAAATAATCCTGCAGTCAACATTTGTGGTTTTAAAGTTTGCCTATAACAGCATGTCAGCCTCTGAGTGCTAGAAAAAAAATCATCACTGTACAACATCCACCTTTGAGTTTCTGTTTATTTTGTATTCCACACTCAACTAAAATTAATTTCATCAAAGGATCTGGGAAACTTTGATTCATTATGGTTGATCAGTTTCCTCTTTAAATTTCTGAATAATGCTTAAGGGAGCCTTTCTTCTTTTAGAAAAGTCTTACTTGTATAAGAAATCAACATCCATTTCTAAATTTCGAAAACATCGCATAAAAACACATTGGCTAGAACTTGTTTTTCTAAGGAAGGACTCAAAAGCATGAAGAGACTGTAAGATGCTGGGGAACCTTTCTGTGTCAGCATAATTTGGACATTTTGGTCAGACAGATATGGCGAAAAGATAGGGAGAACTCAGTTGGGCAGAAAATAGCTCCATTTTTTAAGATAGGAAATAACAACTGGACAATCAGTTGGATTCTGAAACTCAGTGAAATTTCATAAGGAAAAAAGGAATTTTTACAGTGTTAGTCAGAGATTTTGTACACTTTTAGTTTTTTCATCACTTTTTACAGCACTTCAAGATACTGGATGTAAAATCACTGCATATACTTAAATATTAAGGGATAAAATTATTCCTAATTTCAACACTGTTTAATGTAATAAATTTAGTATGTTCTGAAGTGTAATCTTTACTCTGAAGAGTAAAAAAATAAACAGAGGTGACCAAAACTCATGCAATTTCACAGCAATCAGAGTATTTGGCATTTAGGTGGCAAAAGTAATTCTCAATCCTACTTTAAGATCAATATTCTACATGGGATTATTTCTTGTCATAATTAAAAATTATGACACCATACTGAAAAATCATACTTCTAATTACTTCTTCATAAAGCCTTTATACAACAAGTTGCTTTTACTTTACTTTGTTAATTCCTCTGAATTTTTGATGAAAATTAGTGAATATGGCTCTGCAACTTGAAAACACTTTTCAATGAAGGCAGTAAAAGAAGATCTGTGCTGCTTTGCTGGTAATGTAACAGCTACCCAGAATTCTCCAGTAAGGAGAACGGCCCAGAGGAAACATGTTGCTACTGCACAACAAGTTCTTTTCAGGGTTAGCAGGACAAAATAGTTTAGACAATCAAAACATAAAATCATGCAGAATGGCTGAGTCTATCTGGATATCGTCAAGTCTAAAGCCCCCTGCATACTGCAAGGGTCACTTAGACCAAGTTGCTTAGGGCTGTGTCCTGCTAGGTTTTGAACTTCTGCAACTCTTCCAGTGCTCAATCACCTTAGCATTAAAAACAGATTTTTCCTATGTTTAAACTGAGTTCCTCGAATTTCAGTTTGTGTACGTTTCCTCTTGTATATTAGTTTAAAACTGAATGCACCAAGTTAAAATTACAACAAAAGCAGAAGACTATCATTGAAGTGTACATAACCTGCTCATTTAAAAGGTGCTGTTTGAATTTAACAAAATTCTGGTTCATTCCCAAATCAAACTGTAATTTAAAGAACCTATAATGGAGCTAACAGGGATGTGTTACTTATGAAATAACGGAGCACCAAAGAGGTGATCTCTACAATCCATACCTCTACTATATGGTAGTTCAAAGGGATCTTGTTATTTCCCGGATAGCTCAACAGCTGTGCAGCACTGTAAAACCAAAGACACATTAAATTCAGACATAACACAGCAAATGTGATATAAAACTCAAGCAAGAGAATTAAAGAAAATTAAAACAGCACCAAACAAATCAATAATCCTTCAAAATCTCTCATTTGATCCTCAGAGCACTGAAGAAAAGAAATAGCACAAGGGCTCACTAGCACTGCCTAAACTATGATAGGTAACAATGTACTCTCTGTGCAGCAGTAACACTGCTTGAACCCTATCCTGCTAAACCACAAATGTTTAGCACAGAAAGTCACAGTGATCTGTAATTGTAGCATGTGTTCATGAAAAGGGGAAAAAAATTATCCCCAACAATTTTATGTTTGGAATGACTTGAAAATACAATTAAGCTAATGTTTATATATGAAACTCTTATGTTTAAAATACCTTATCTTTAATCAGCTCATTATCACCTATCACTTGTGCAAAGCAAACAACTACTTCTGGCAAATCTTGTATCTCTCTTTTACTATCCTCAGAGAATTAATGAAGACTATCCCAGCAACAGCAACAACAACACCACCAAATCTCTAGTTTCTGCTGGATCAAACAGCTGCAACCACAAAATTTTATTACATGCCATCACCAAAAACATTATTTCTAGGTTTGCTAGTTTTCATAGAGAAGTGTGACAGCTGTGGCAAACCATCTTAGTTATCAATTATCCACATCAGACAGTGCTTGGGCAGAAATAAAGAAAAGTGCCCTGACTGCCTCCTGGCACAGCTGAATTGAAACTGATGAAATCTGGCCCAGCAGTGACTTCCCAGAGTGAAGTCAATTATCTCTGGCATGTAATTCCCACAGGAAGCACAGCAAGGAGGTGTCTATAAACACCAATGCTCAGTCAGCTGCAGATGAACCAGCTCCATGCTCACTGCCCCAGCTAATCAGCATTCCAGGAAGCACAACACAACCACATTTTCCACAGAGGTCCCATGAGGAATAAGGCATGTCTGCATACTTTTTGTACCATATGCCATATAACTCAAGGGATTCCCTTCCCAAGAAACTACTGCTCTCTGGATTAGACACTCTGTTATCTGGATGTTATGGATACATAGTATTCCAGGCAACAGTTTCAGCACAGATAAATGCAGTAAATAAACTTTCACTACCAGCTTCAAAAAACGTTTATCTGCAGCTCTTGCCCCACCAGCACAGGTCATATCCCTGCTGGCACCAAAGCCACAGCAGCACTAAAAAGTGCCACAGCCTCCCAGTACTAAGCTTCTCCTACCAAGTCTTTCTCTCTTTCCAGTGAGATTTGATGATGCAGTGGAGGTTCTCCTCTATCACAAATCTCTCAACGGAGTGGCTGCCAGGCATGACAGGACCCTGGTAAGAAAAAGTGAACATTCATGAAGGTCACTGCTAATGCAGTGGTACCACAGGCAGCAAGCTTTCTTAGATACATTTACAGGTAGAAAAAAGTTGCCCAACATCCACATAAACACCATGAGGTCTCAGCTGCCCTGTATCCTTCAGGACTAAAAAAACTGGTATGACACATTTCCACACAAACCTCAGAGTCACCCATGTTTAAAACAAAACGAATAGTGGCACTCATTACAAGAGATAAGAACAAAGTTAGAGAACATGATTCTGTTCTGTATGATTGTAAGAGCATCTGCTTCTTCCCTTGCTTTGTGAAGTCACTGGAAAAAAAAACAAAACAAACAGCTAAGCTAGACTAAAGAAGCCTAGCCTAAAGCCACAGAGTGGAAAGAATAAACACTCATGGTCTTCTCCACTGCAAAAACCAGAAGCCAGTAAGCGATGGTAAAAGGCAGCAGACTCAATTTTGTTGCTGGCCTTCCAATCACTCACTGTCCTGGGGAAGAGGACATCACATACATCACATTTTCACCAATATTGCCCCAGGAACCTATCTGTGAACTCCACTCACCATTCCGCAAGGCAATCACTCACCTCAGGGTCATCCGTGTAGTCAAACATCCTAAAAATAACCCTTGGCATCGGGTACACAGAATCTTCAGTGTGGGGTGGGGGTGTGAAGGGAGGCAGATTGTGTTGCAGTGCCTCACAGAGCACGCTGTCAAAAGCCAAGTAGGGCCTCAGGATGTGCCGCTCTTGCCAACGGTCTTTTTTCAATTTCTGAATCTGAGACCAAAGGCAGTCTAAATACTGAAGGGAAAGGTGAGAAACATTAGATCTGCTGAATCTCTGAACAAAAAGGGCAGTTTCCTGAACTATCTGAAATGTATACATTCCTTACTATATCCAGAAAAAAACCAAGTTTCTTAAACTGCTGATTCAATAAACCAACAAATAATTTAAGAACCCTAAATGTCAGAACTATTCCTGAATCCATACAGCTTTGTGTCAGTAAAATTTAACTTCTGGCAATTTTTTAAAAGCCAACAGGCACCTCAGGAGCCCCAGAGAAACTACAGCAGAGAATAGTCACTACTCTTTGGTGGTATTAAAAGCATCGTAATATCCCAGCATGCTCACAGTTTTACACAAAAAGTCCTTTTAACATGAAGCCCTGTAACCTACAGATCAAAATTAAACACTACAATTTACTTCATAAGTTTTCCTCAGGGGCTTGCAGCAAACAACAGAATTCCCTCCTTCTTACTCAACTCAACCTCTTATTTCAGCCCAATACTTGGAAAAGAATTCCCCACACAGAACTTTTTGAAATCAATGGCAAATAGCAGGCAAATCAAAGCATTCACTCTTAAGAGATGCCTTCTAATTTCATGATAAAAGAACACCTCAGTATGAAACTATTTTTCCAGCTTTCTGAAGGAATGAAGTGTAAAGTCTAATTACCTCTTCTTGTGGATGTGGTTTGTCAGCAGTCCACACTTGCAGCATGGGTACATGAATCTTCTGGCGGCGTCTGTTTAAACAGGAGAGAAAACATGACCTTTAACAGACTAATTTAGGGCAGCAGTTTTGTTTTTATTGTACGTGTGTTCTAATATTCATTCTCTTCAGCTGATAATGTCTACAGTAGATAAAAATCAGGTTTGCGATACTTAAAATATCTCCGTCATAGCAACTTGACAACATTAACTTGAAGCACCTAGACAGAAAGCAATCACAATGTACAGCACTAATGCAACAATCTATCTGTATTAACAGCATACTTACGACTCCAGGTGCTTCATCATGAGCAGAACAAGACCTTAAACATACCCTAGAACTCAACAAGACTGCAAAACTTTTCAAATTCAAAAATCTCTCCACCTAGTGCATTTTTAGGGCTTTGTTCCCCCCACAAAATGGTTCACACCTAAAGTTTTAGAATACATTAAAGTAAGCGTTAATCAAGACTATTACTTCACACTTGAACAGATACCAAAGAGAGTGTTTGTAACCAGTTACAACTTACTTCAGATAGCTTTCTGCCTGAGACAAGAGACGATCCATTTCAGCATCCTTCTTCTCATATAACTCCTTTCCAACCCAAGGCAAAGATGACAGAAATGCAAACATATACCAGTCACATCGCACCTAGAAGGTAATATACCAAAACTTGAGTAAGCTCCAGCAGATTCTGTACACATGCAGTTCCATTTAAAACATCAGCAAGTTGTTTTGGAGGAATGTAAAGACGAGCAGTTGCAACTGGACAGGCAAGACATCAGAAAAAAATATTCATGCTTGAAAAGTATAATTTTTCCCTTGAACCGTGTTAGGCAGACTTAAAAAATGGGATAAATGGCATCACTTTCAAAATTCTCCAAATGGTCAGTACAGCAGAAAAGCTAGGCACACTCTGCAATTTCCAGAGTAAGGTAAAATAAATTTTAATTTGGCCACTTTGTCATACTTTCTTACTGTGCACGTATTTCCCAATTGCCACAGGCTCCTTTCACTAATGCTCAGGAAACTGCATGTGTCAATCCATTTAGGCTCCCCTCCCTAAAACATCCCTGTTCTAAGCATAAGGACCGAACAAACAGTACAAACAAGCCGTGAAACAGGCCCAGGGAGCCCCCAGATCTTTTGCTTACTTGGGGTACGTCCTCCTCCTGTGTCACACTCACAAAGTTCTCAAACATAGCTACCATTGAAGGTGCAGCTATTACGTGGCAATTCACGAGATCGGACAGAAAACGTACCTAAAGAGAAAAAGAACATTCTAAATTAATACTTTTTAAGCTGGCAGCACAAGTACAAATAAACATTACTTAAATTATTAATGCAAACCACTAATAAAAGTATAATACTCATTCAGTACCACAAAGGCTGAAATACTACACACTGCACAGACTCACCTTTAAATGACAAGCATCATACGTGCTGCCTAATATACTGTTCACTCTAATGTCCTTAATCCCCCCCACTGCAATAACATAAGGCTAATATTCCTAATTAAGCAATGGTGCGAAACATGCAAACTGATATTACAGAAGAAAACCGTGGTACTTCTCTCTATTCTATACAGTATCAGATAACAAAAATAACAGAAGTTCTAGCAATTAGATCTTATTAGTAAAAGTGTCCTACAATTGACCTAACATCAGTCTCTTGACTGGGATCTTAATTTTCACCAGTGGGATTGATTCATAAATAGGTGGGGAACTTGGTAGTGGGCTTCTAAATCAGACACTGCTGAGGTGTCTAATACCTTACAGCAGACAAAATCTATAATCAGCAAGGATGGAGCAAATAGTTTCAAACACAGCCAGCACTTAAAATTGACTTCTTGATCTTTACCCCTTATCAGAAGAATGCAACCAGACATCAAAAATAGCTTTTAAGAACTACAGTGTTCATTTTCTTTTCAATTTTTTTTCCAGAGGAGGCACAAGATTGTCATGTACCTCTCAATACCAGGGAAGTGGACTGACTTTTTTTTTTAATCTTTTACATTTGACTGAAGGACAAACAGCAAAAAGTACCTCGGTTTAACACAAATTTAATTTTTCACTGTGAAAAAGATACTGTTGGAAATAAATTTGCAAATGTAATGTGACTCCTCGTCCGTGAGAAAGAAAATATTTCTCATATAACACACATTTTCTCTTGGAATACTTACAGTGTACTGCACATTGATGGCAAAAGACACTGAAACACACGTTGTAAGTAACAAAAAGACGAAAGGAGGAAAGAAAAAGGACATGAAACAAACAGACAAATAAAACTCCACTCACTAAATGCACAGCTTCATTATACATGTTGACTTTCAGACATTCTTTAAGCTGACGAATCATGGCTTCTACGAATTCCCCACCAAAATTGTAGTTCCTGGCATTCAGCAAGCCCACCAATGTCGTGTAAACTGTAAGCTTCTCTGGTAGCAGACGTGCGCTGACACAGAAAAAGAAATACTGTGTTAGTTGTTTGTTCATCACGTGCCAATTGGCCACAACATAGCATCTTAGAATCTGCCTGCTGTAAGACAAACTTGCCTCATGAGGAAATCAGAAAAGACAGCTGCTATCAATTTCTTGTGCTAAAACATTTGCTTTTCATTTACATCTAAGTGCTGACTATACCGGAGGGTTGAACAAATAATATTAATGACAGAATTTATTGTGAGAATGCAAGAAGTTGTTTCAAGTTCGAAATTAATAAATGTTATTACACAGCATAGGGAAGGCCAGGTCCCACTGTAAAAAAGTAATTTACCTCAACCATTTTTGTATACCTGTAAGTATACTATAAGCGGTATCTGTCTGCTGCCCCGGAAGGAAGCACACTACTTACCCTTAATAAAAATATTGCTACAAAATAGACTTTAAGTATCTGCAAAATGTTAGCACAGGCTCAATAGTCTGCCACCACACCCTTCCTTCGGACTTGTCTTACCTCCTGCAACACATCCTGCACAATCCCTCCCTCAACATCACCGAGTGACCCTGACATGGCACCTCTGCTTCTGCACTTTGCGAGGGAGAGGAAGGAGATCTGGCAGCCACCAGAGAACCTGGTTTCTGCTCCTCTCGTTCCCAGTTCCTCTCCTCTAGCAAATGGGCTTACAAAGGCATGAGCACTTGCCAGCCAGGGAAGACGAAGCTGCGAGAAATCATCGCAGAACACAAAGGTAGCTGTTAGCAGCCACTTCGGTGGTATTAAGCACTTAATGTGAAACACGATTTTGCCCGGCATTGCCGTGTTCCCACAGCCACTGCAGACCAGTTCTAATGTTTCATCTACCTGCTTCGAGCTTGAATTACACCCAGTAAGTTATGAGCTTGTTCCTCTATTTATTTCATTTGTAGTAAGACAAACTCTAGGCTATGACAGCAATCAGGAACTAAAGCTATTCACGGCTTTGAAACTACCTTAAACACTAAACTTATGCACAACGACAGCACATCCCACATTCCCAGGCCTTCTCAATACGTACACAGTACACAGTATTCGTAGTATCTTGCTTTTGTAATTTGGTAGATCAGCTTCCAAAACACCGGCTAGGCCCTCCAGGTTGCTCTCCAAAGACGAATTACTCTAAAACGAAAATTAAAAAAACAAACGTTTTATCAACCAGGCAAAACGAACTAGTCCAACTCTCACATGCAAGACAATGAAGCTGGACAAGAGCATCCTTTCATGTCGCCTCATTTTTCAGGGCTACAATCCACCAGCAGCGAGGATCTGTTCTCGCTTGCCGAGGAAGAGCTGCACCCGACCGCCAAGCTCCCCGGCTAGGAACTTTCCCCAGGGATGCAACATCATCCCGGGAACACCCCGGTAGCGCGGCTGAGCGTTGATTAACAACACCTTGTTTTTCAGAGCATCATCATCTTTTGTTCTGCCACCCCCTCCTCCTCCATCAGCCCTATTGTCGGGACTGGAAACTTATGCTGCAGGAAGACCGTTTAATTCTTCCACACCCTTCCCAGGCTAGAACCATCAGCACCATCCTTAGATACAATAGTAACTATCCTCCGGCCGTTTATCGCCGTTTGGGAAGCGCTATGCTACGATTTAAGCCCCTAACCGCCACAGCACGTGGCTTAGCAAAAAAACGGCAACTTTCCCCCCATCTCATAAAATTAGTATTTTTTTGGAGGGTCGCTACTACCGACGAAGTGCCCCCACACCACGCACGGGAAGGGGAGAGGGCGAAGGGAAACAAGGCTTTAACTCTGCCGAGGCGCCAGCCCGCCTACCTTTTCTCCCACCCTGCAGATGAGCGACTCGAGCCTCTCCTCGATCTCCGACGGCTCGGACGTCCTCCGCCTCTTGTGGGGCTGCCCTGCTCCGACAACACACCGAGCACAGCGTTACCCACGCCGCAGAAACCCTACTGCTCGCTCCTCCATCCCGCCGCTGCTCCATCCCGCCCAACCCACCCTCCCTGCCCGGCCACCTCGGGGTGGACGCGGGGCTCACCATCGCTGTCGTCGCTGTGCCGCCGCCGTGACATGGCAAGGAGCGGCGGAGAGGAGCGGCGGAGAGGAGCAGTCGGGAAGAGCGGTGAGGAGCAGTGAGGAGCGGTGACGAGCGCTGCGGAGCGCCGGGAAGCAGTGGGCCGAGACACCCCGCGCGGGCCGACCAAGAGCACTGCTTCCCCGCCCGCGGCCGCGCTGTTTCCGGGGCGGGCACGGCCTCTCCCGCCCGCTTCCCTGAGGAACCCGAGCCCTTCCGGGGCAGGCCCGAAGAAGCGGGAGGAGGAGGAGGCGGAGGTGGAGGGCAGCAGGCGCTTCCTGGCGGAGAGGCGGAGATGGTGCCGGGCGAGGCGGCGCCGCTCGGGCCGGGCTCGCCGCGGGGCAGCGCCGAGGGGGCCGCGGCGGGCAGGAAGCAGCGCGCGGCCGCCCGCAGGAAGGTGGGTCGGGGCCGGGGCCGGCTCGGGGCCGGCGGCGCTGTAACCTCGCTAACGCGGACGCTCGCGGTGCGTTCCAGGCCTTTTCCCTGTTCGTCAAAGCCAAGGAGGTGCCGGCCGCGTCGCGGTGTCCCGGCGGCGGAGAGGGCGTGCGGTGGCGGTGCTGCCGGCAGGCATTCGAGGAGCTGCCCGGCATCCACAGGCACGTGGCCCTGCACCACTCCGGGGACGTGGGGCGGCAGGCGGGGCCGGCGGAGGCCGCGGGCAGCCCCCCGGGCAGCGCGGCCCGGCCGAGCGGGCACTCCTGCGGCAGCCCCGAGATCTCCTGGACGCTCCCGGACACCAGCCACGTCAGCCAGGAGGACCTGACGAGGTAAGGGAGCCCCTCACCGCTCTGGAGCTCCCGGAGTACGCGGCTGTATGTCATGGTCTGCCAATAGTACTTCTTACGAGATTCAGTCAAGCGACACTTCTAAGGTACAGGAGGAGTCTTCCCCAATATTCTTCTGGATCTTCAGATCCTCTGAGTATCGTTTATGATAAAGTGTTACACTCCTTGCTGTTTTTAATGGTGGATAGAGCTATCCGAGCTATATCATCCTGTATTGCTAAAGCAGGCCTGTTTGGGTGTTATTTCACAGCTTGGATCTGCAAGGAAGGACTGCAACAGAGAAGGGCAGAACAGCAGGATGTGCTCTGCACGGGTTCCTTTCTGCTGTTCGTTCAGGTTCCTGAAGGGCTCATTTAGTTATGAAGGAGATTCACAACATTTCTGACTGTGACAGAGTTCGGCTTGTGCTGCACAAAATGTGGGAACACGCAATCTCACAAAAAGCTTTGGCTTTTTAAATTTAAACAGCTCAAGTGCTTGAGCAAGTGCCATTTTGGCAAAGCAAGCATTTAATGTCTTGCTTGTGTGCACAAAAGTCAGCAATTCTTGTGTTCTGTGTGTGGGGAGAGCATATGGTAGGCCACTGGCAGTGAGAGTACAAAGTTCACTTTGTAACTAGACTCTCGAATTAGAAGTGTGGGAGCTTTTCTTGGTTAAGATTCCTTCTGCTTGAAATACAGTAGTGCTAATCCCTCCAAAGTTTGTTTGAGGGATCTGTCAAAATAAAATTGTCTGCTTTCTGAATGGTCACTGCTAATAGTGTAATTTTTTTCTTTCTTAACATTCTTTTTCTATTTGCTTACCTTTGCCATGCTGTGGGCAGCCAGGTGGGAGACGTACTTCTCTATTACTGTTACTGTGAGGTGAGGGATCCAGAGAAACTCTGTGCTTGGCAAAAGGCCTTGTGTCAGCATCTACATCTCACTGGCAAGGTAAGGTTTGAAGCAATGGTTCTGTTCTTAAGAAAAACCCACACATCCCTATTTAGTGTAGGATGATGTGTTACGTGGAGAACCAGCTGTATTTTGCACCACAAAGTGCTAGTCTGTTGTGATCCCATTAAGAGAGGCACTCAGACTTGGTAAAGTATCTTTTAGAATTCTATTTAAGAGCTATCACAACAAAGAAAAAGAAATACAGATAATCTTAAATTCCTTTTGATACAGGGAACCGTGGGCTGTGTGGCATTGAGTGAACCTGACAAGCAGCACACAGTGCAGACCCTGTCCTTGCAAGGGTTACCCCATTTCCATGAGTTTTACACATGGAAACGGGAAAATGAGTCTTTTTATCACTCCTGCCATCAACCAGAAAGGATATTCACATGAGAAATGTGCATTTTTCTATAAAGATGCATTTTTCGATAAAGGCAAGGCAATGAAAGTGGCTTTATCGCTGGTGTCAGCAGGGAGTTCATGCAGGTGTCTCAGCTGGCGTTAGCAGGCCAGGTGCATCCTGGGGCTGAAGGGCACCTGCAGCACAGCACAACGCAGCTGGAGGGAGAGCATGTGTCTGGGCCTGCCCCACTCGCTGGTCACCTGTGCTGGTCACCTGTAATCCTTCCTCCTCAGTGCACAGTGGGCTCCCAGACAGAGTGGCTACACCAGCCTGCAAACCATACTGTCAGGAATTAGGTGTGAGCAGCCAGCACCTTAGACCACTCCATAATGTAGCAGTTCTCTTTCCTGCACAGTCTGTTCTCTTCATTCCTGGCAGGCTGGGCCAACAACATGAGTTGCTTGTGTAGCTGGCCTGTGGATGCTCTGGGAGAAGGTGAATTTTACCTCACAAAGCTGATGTTCCTAGGATATCTGTGGGGAGAAGGAGGGCAGTGTGGAGCTGGATGCTCCTTTTATCTGTGATTTGTCTTCCTGAGTAGCTTCTTGCTCTCTGCCAGTGGTGCATCAGCACAGCTCTGGGGGTGAAGTGTCATCATGGATTCACTTCTTTTTCTGCTCAGCTGTTTTGTGTGGTAGTTGGTGTTTTGCTCCAGTTACTCTTCTTTTTTTTTTTCCATTTCATCCAAGACAGATACAGCATTCACCTTCCCAATCAGTTGGTTTTTTCCTTGCTTCCTATATTCAGTCTTTCCCCCTTCCCCCCATCCCCATTTCAAAGATTTTGTTCATTTGTCAGTGCTGGAGATAAAATGACTCATCCCGAAATTTAATATTAGATACAACGTTATGCATATTCACATTTTCTTTTTTAGCTGTGAGTCATGCAGCACAAGCCTATTGTTCTTTCTGAGACAACTTCCAGTGGGATTTCTAATGCTGACTGCAGGATTTGCAGACAGCAATTTCTCTGTTTATACAGCATTTCTCCTTTTAGTGAGTGGACTTCTCTGACTCTCCTGATGTGATTCTTTTAAAATGGGTGAGAAGTGATTACTGGATTGTTGAGGGTTTTTCTCTGTTTATTGTCTTTATGTTCAACTTCATTCTAACCGTATTGTCCTTCCCGATTCAGTAGTCTCTTTTCTGAACATGCTCCTGTGCCTGCCCTTTGTCACCCAGGCATATTTTGCTGATTTCACTGTGATCTCTTTTGCTGTAACTAAGGTTCAGCCCCAGCTTCTCCTCTTGCCTCCTAGGTACGAGTTGCTTCAGAAGGAATTAATGGGACAGTTGGTGGAAGCAAAGTAGCTACCAGTCTCTACATTAAAGTTATGCTTTCCCAGCCTTTGTTCAAAAACATTTTGTGTCAAGAGGATTTCAAGGTATGAAAAAACAATTTTTACATAGACATTGTTAATGCAAGTAATTTAATTTTCAAGAAATAAGTAGAGCCTTTCTTCCCTTTCTTAGTATTACTTCTGCCAGTTCTGCTCCCCCACCACTTACCTGAGTAGGTGGATCTTAACCATAATCTGTGCTGGTTTTTACCAGAATTGGGAGTTTCCATGGGCAGTGTTAGCAGCTGCTACAAGCTTTGGCAGCTCTGGGTGCAGCTGCAAGGCCCCCCACTACAGGTGAGTGAGGGAGTGTGCCTAAGCCCCATTCTGCAGCAAGCATTTACTCCAGACTGGGCAGGCATCGTGACATATGCTTAGCCCAGCAAAGTGTTGCACACTGTCCTCTTCACCCTGCTTTGACTGGAAGCAGTACTACTGGCTTAGCTTCATGAGAGTTTTGGTGTCCAAATAGGTGCACTGTTAGTTCCATGGATTGGGTATTCTGCAGAGAAAATGTATAGGGACTTTCAAGAGATTTCTTCCTACTCCACTTAGTGCCTGGCTGAAGCATATGTACTGATTGCTGTCCTCGGATGATGAGGGCAGCACTGGCTGGTGCACTGTATGGCATTTTGGTAGGCTTTGGCTGCCAACCATTGTAGGTTCTGGTTTCTCTGCAAGGAAGGAAAGCTGCTGCTTAAGCAGCAGCTCTTCTCTACAGTTTTATTTGCAGGGAATGCTATTATTTTTTCATAAACAACTAGATCAAAGGAGTTAGTGAAATTTGCAAAACTCAAATTCCATGCTGAGCTGCAGTGATGATTCAGTCTTAGGTTTAAAAGTGTCTGTTATGCTTGGCTGAATTTCAGGAGGAGTTGTGTTAGTCACAGTCCTATGTAGATACAAAAAAACAGGGATGGAATTTTACCAGACCTTGGCAAAACCTTCAACCTTGCATGACCTCTCTGGGCATCAGTGTTCATGCATTAGTGGAATACTCTGTTTGCTGTCTCACAGTTCCTTCTGAATGTTGTATGCCCGAGTGAGTGAGGCTTTCAGGTTGTTGTGCCATGAAGACATGGGATAGAGGAGTGACAACCGTGCTTGGAGCTATAAACATACCCAGTGGCCACTACAGTTCCCGTGGTTGATTTCCGTAATAGTTGGAGCGCTGCTGCACACTGCACTTTTCCTTGAGTGTTTATTTACTTGATGATGCCTGAGCCATGTTTGAGGCTCAGCCCTGCAGAAATTCTCTCTCCCTGTAGCCTGCAGTGGGGGTGCCTACCAATAAAGGGCATACCAGGACTTATGAAGGGGAAATCCCGCACTGGAGTTTGTTAAGAAATCGTGTGCCTGGCCGACCTCCCTTACACGTCCATCACACGTGCGTGAACACTGCAGCTCCCCTCTCACACAGCACGACTGCAGACACAGCTGTGCTTGTGTCCTCTGCCAGAGGGATGAAGAGAACTGCAGGGTCTGCAGGTGACAACCGGATCCATTACTGGAGGACACTAGTTAATATTCCTGCCAGGATCAGCATGTTTTTGTAGGGGCCTCAACTTTCTCACAATAAGTGCTAGTAACATGTTGCTGACTAATGTTTGGTCTACATCCCTGCACTTCCAACCAATGCTGTCTGTCTCACCTGCAGTCATTGGGCCTAAGACTTCCAGGTGATGTTTGGGGTCCACTGCCTTAACTTCAGGATTTAGAGTGTGGATTTCAGCAGGAAAGACACTTCTTTCCCTCAACCACAAAGATATTTTCATATTCTAATGATCTGTAGAATTAAAGTGAGTGGGTAATTTTAATTTTGACACCTGGAAAATTTTGGTGAATTGTTTTTTTGTGTTTGATTTCCTAGAGCAGTGCAGGAGGAGCTCACTGTTTCCCAGACCTTCGAGTTGGAGTATTCAAAGAAATTGTACCTATGGGCATTGATCCAAAGATAGTGTCTTATAAGGAAACTGGTAAGTTTATGTAATTAAAAAAAAAAAAAAGAAAGCCTCTCACCCAGGTGAGAGATGAGTGAGGAGTAAAATCCTTCATCAAAAATACTTCCGTTTGCACAATCACCAGGACACAGGAGAAATAGATACAGAAATTGATATCTTACTGGTAGTCAAAAGCTACTGGTGCAGAGAATTTGCTGGCCTAGATTTTGGCTAGCCAGGTGTATAGTTGCCTCAGAAAACCTCAGAATTAACTTCAGGTTTTGTGGGAGAGTTCCAATGACATGGAGCAGTAGGGACTGCTGACTTGGCTTCACTGGTTTTGGTGCCAACAACCATGCTCTTGCCTTTTGGACTGAGCAGATCCAAGTTCTGCATGAACTCCATCTGGCTGCATTTGCTTTGTGCTAACTGTAGCTGCTTAGTGTGGATTACGCCTGATAAGGTGTTCTGGCTGTGGATTTGCTTTAAGGATGCTTACATAGGTGGTAAAAGGAGCACAGCAAATGGCAATTAACAGAGCAGCTTTGGGCTTTTTTTTCCATCAAGAGGTCTTGTTGGTGCCAAACTTGTACAGCATCTTTTTGTGGATTTGGAAGAGGATTATTTTTTGTTCCCATTTTTTAGTAGTTTGCGGGCTGTGTGTTTGGCTATTTCTTTCCTTTTTTGCCCTTTTTCCTACTCTTTTTCTAGCATTTCATGGAGATGGTTTCCTATTACTCTGGCAGGCTGCTTATAGGGGTGTTTTTTAATAAAGTAAATGATTTTGCTGGTTGAGCTTTTTAGTTTTTCAGTGGATTAAGAGTTCTAAGCCCTGAAAATTGAGAAACTTTATGTAAAGTGTGCTGAAAGTAATACATGTTTATGGACATTTTCTATTGTTATCAAGAAGAGTTTATTAAAAATTGCATTTCTGCACCTCGAAGTGTAATGACATATGAGCAAAGAGAAGTGGCACATGTCACTCCCTCTTCTGCAGCTGTAAGAGTAGCCAGGGGGATGACAAAAGATCATAGAGATAAGTAGCTCTCTGCTGCTTCTTCCATTGTAGGGAACAACAGAAGAACTTCCATTTGCCAGTAGAAAGCCAAACGTGGATAAACTTGGCTGATTGAGTTGGGATGAAAAGTCTGTGAATAATTACAAAAAAGTTTTGTTTGGAAATCTGAGGAGAATCTGGATCAGTGATCTCATTTGTGACATTGTTTCATAGTTCTGCTTCTCACTTCTCTTCCCCCCCCCCCTTTTTTTTTTCTCCTTTTTTTTTTTTTTTTTTTTGTTTGTTTGTTTTGTTAAAGGAATCCATTTATCCCCTCAGGAATTTCATAGAGAAGTAGAACAGTATTTGTCTCAGGCCACTCAAGGACAAAGTGATACCATCTTGCTGGACTGTCGGAACTTCTATGAAAGTAAAATAGTAAGTGCTGCTTGCCTGCTTCTTTACAGGTGCTGGGGTGAAGTATTTTATGATTGTGAGGCTGTGTCGCAGACATTTTTTCATAGAAATCCTTTCTTTGGGATTTGTGCATCTTCTGGGAAGCTGAGGCCCCAGAAGATGAATGTAAACAATTGTTATCAGCTGCTGTGGAATGCAATAGGATGCACCTGTGATTGGTTCATGTTCCATGTGTACAATTAAGGGCCAATCACAGGAGCAAGCTCGGGGAAACTGGACTCAGAACTTTGTTATGGATTCTTTTCTATTCTATGCTTAGCTTAGCAGCATCTGCAACTTCTCTCTTTATTCCTATTAGTATAGTAATAATGTATTATATATCATATATCAATAAATCCAGCCTTCTGATCATCAAACAAGATTCTCATCCTTCTCTCACCCTGGAGACCTCCTCAGGTCGCTGTAATAAGGCTGTAACCTTTCTGTAGAAGAGATTACATTCTCCAGCTTGACTGTAATGTGTACAGAGTGCAGTTTAGTAATGAATATTAGATACAAGCAGTAGAGGATCTGCCCAGGAACTCAGGATGGAGCCTGCCTGGCCAAGTGCTTAATACAGTGTGGGGCAGAAAGAAAGCAAAGAGGTCCATACAACATGAGAATGAATGTTTGAAGTAGCTTAATTTGTAGGGATGTATTTTAGCAGTTTTTGTCTTGTCCCATCTGTCAAAAGGAAAGGGGCATCCTGCTGTCACAACCACCACCCCTCATGCACTGTTGTGGTTTGTCTTCTCTCTGAAAGTTTGGCTTAGCTCTCTCTTCTTTTGATGAGGAGACTTGCTGTGTCCAGAATCCTCCTACAGATTTTAACATATGTTTTGATGCATAAATGCAGCTGAGGAGCTGCCTGAAGCAGCTGCAGTGAGCTGAATATTCCAGCCCAAAGGTTTGTTACTTCTGGTTTGAGGCACGGACCTTACCAGTGCTTGTAACCAGTTGCATGGCCATCTGTTGTAATTGCAGGGACACTTCCAGGGCTGTCTGGCTCCAGATATCAGGAAGTTCAGCTATTTTCCAAGCTATGTAGATGAAAACCTGGAGCTTTTTAAAGACAAGCGTGTCCTAATGTACTGCACAGGAGGGATTCGCTGTGAAAGAGGCTCTGCTTACCTCAGGAGCAAGGTAAGATGTCATTCTGAGGGCACAGGTATCGGGGAGTTTGGGCTGCTCTAAGGGCACCTGTCTTTTGTCTTGCTGGTGAATTTTTACTGTTCACAAACTGCAGAATGCTCAGGTGGGGAGATAAATGCCTCTGACATGTGCTTGTCTCATGCTGTCAGTCAAGGACCTGGATAGTTGAGTGTGGCTCAGTATGACCTGTGTGGACTAGTGTCACAGCAGTGAAAATAATTATATAACCCATTTCCTGAGAAGAGATATTTGTAGGACTGTTTTAGGCGGGCTTGAAAATACTCTGCAGTGTTTCCACAGACTGTCGAGGTTATGCTCTGTGGTCATTACTGCACAGCTTGAGCATCTCACAGTGGTGAAAATTAGCCAGTCAGTGCTTTTCCCAGAACTAAATCCAGCACAGTGCATTGTTCTAATTGTGTTCTAAAATTTCCATCCCACTCTTCTCCTGGATCCTTCTCCCAAGGATCAAGGAAACAGAACACAAAGGTTCTCCAGAGATTCAAACCTTGGGGTTCTTTTTTCAGCTGCATCAATGTGAACCCTGTGAAATTCTGCTTCTACTAACTGTTAATTAAATAAATACTGAATAAAAAGCAGCAGTTCATGGAGATTGAAAAGCATTTGATTTCTGATACAGCAGACCTTCCTCAAGTGAGGAGGCTACCAGCTTCTTTTGAGTGTAACATTAAATGAAGAGTTGGGTTCATTCCAGCAAGCCAGCATTGTGGAGCTGCCCTGTACTCCCTGGTGGCACTGCCTAGAGCTGTGGCTGCACGTGGTGCCATCTGATGGTCACTGAGGGGCTGCTGCTTCTCACTGACCCCTGGCATTTACAGCATTTGCTTTGGGAACTCTGGCACACCACCACTGCTGTGGTCTCCTTCAGTTTTTCTGCTAATATGCTTTAAACAGGCAGTGTGCAGAGAGGTTTACCAGCTAAAAGGTGGAATTCACAAGTACCTAGAAGAGTTTCCAGATGGATTCTACAGGGGGAAGCTGTTTGTATTTGATGATCGTTACGCCATTTGTTCCAATGAAGATATCATCTCAGGTAGGACTAGATAATGTAAGTGCAGAAGGCTGGGAAGCTATTGCAGTCATTTCCAGAGGTGTGCAGGATAGGGACAGGCAAACTGGCCTGTGTAGTTCTTCCTCATACTTGGTTTGATCTCGTAGTGCTGTCACTTCTCGTGATGACTGCCAACACTAGATGTAAACATGTACGTATGCTTTACATGTGTTTTAACGTGTAAAACAGAAACGAGAGGAAAAGGGGTCACTAACAAGAGTTCACTAAAACTGGAGCAGTAGAAGGAAGTATCCCCTGCAGAGCAGCTCTGTTATGAGCCATCTGCACCTATGGAGACAGATGTCCAGCACTACAGCCATTGTTACCACCTGGTTGCCCACAGTGCTGAGTAGACTGTGGTTGGCCAAGTGACCAAAGTCTTAAATAGTTCTCCTGCTACCAGTAGTCCTCTGCTTCAGCAGTCTCACAGAATATCAACAAAGGCTTCCAGATATTGGGAGAGTAGTGACACCTATGCTCTATAGCAATTTGTTAATTTCATGTTTAAGAAATTCTATATCCATGGAATTTCAGTGGCCTCTAGTTGAAGCTGTTGAAACCATTGCCTGATTTTCTGGCTGGGATTGCTCTTCTGCAAATTAAGTAATCTCTTATTTTGCTATCAGTTGCCAGATACAAGTAGCTGGAATTTGGCTCCAGCCCCTTTTTTTAAGGAAGCAGTGCTGGTTTTTTTTCTGAGTTTGTAACTTTTCAAGCATAACTCCCATTCCTCCTCTGCATTTACTCTATACATCTTGAAGGGGCCTGACTTGGTATGGAAACAGAACATACTCTGGATACATCACAGCCATTCCTACGGAAGTTTCAAGGGGAAGTGCTGTGATATGCACCTTCTTGGTACAGCTAAAACTGGGCTGTAGCTTTCAGTTAAAGAGTTAAAACCCATAATGTTCTGGAAGGACTCTACCAGGACTGCAAATGGCACCCTGCCTGCACAAGCCATTATTTATAGATGGAAGGAAGTTCCATGGCATCCCTTTCCTCTGCAGGTGACATTCCTGCATACTGGCTTAGTTGCCACCTGCATGTCTTTCTTCTTCTCTTGTCAGTAAGAATCTCTGTCTATTCAGAACTAGAGAAAGCACTAGTGAGCTACTCCCTTCTTTTCCACAGGGAAAACTGTCTTAAGTGTGTCAAAAAAGATGTTCTAAACTGAACTAGATTCTAGAAGATCAAGCTAAACAGGAATTAAAAACCTGCAAGACAGTAGGCTCTTAAATGAGAGCAGGCAGCCCCATGGTGCCTTGGCAAGCCCTCTGCAAGGGAGCAGCCAGAGCAGTGTGGGTGTTAACCTTTTCTTTTCCTCCTCCCTCCAGCATGCAGATACTGTGGGGTGCTGTGGGACCAGTATAAACTTTGTTCCAGTCAGCACTGCCGGCAGCTTGTCCTGACATGTCCAAGTTGTTGCAACAAAGGTCTTACAGCTTGCTGTCCTGTTTGTCAAGAGAAGGAGCTCAAGGTGACTTCAAGGGCTTCAGGACAGGTACTTAAGGAGGAATGTGAATGTACAAGGAGACGGCCAAGGGTGCCCATTGAACCTGTCTCACCAAGGATGCTGGACACAGGAAAAGATTAAGCTGTTTCACTGGTTAATCTGGCACGTGCTCATGTAAAGGGCTTCTGTAACCAGATCTCTATCCATTAACCAGTTAGGTTTGGAAATAATGAAAATATGTCAGCTTGGAAAGTCTTGTTTATATGCTGCCTTTAAACATAGAATATGCCCTGAAAACCATCCATTACTTGCCCGTAAATTACCAGAGTGCCCAATTCATCACCAGCACTACAGGATTCCTCTCTCTGGGTACAGTCTTGTAGTGTGGCCTTTACCATGGGGATTTTGAAGCAGAGTATCTGCAATGTGACAGGGCTGCTCACAGTTCAAAAGAAACTGAAGGAATTCAAGAACAATTCCATTTTTTTCTTCCTGCATGGAGATCAACCTGTCTGACCTCTCCAAGGATCATGCATCTGCTTCAGTAGCTTGTAGTAAGGTGTACAAACAGCAGATTTATCAGTTTGGTATGAGTATGTGACCAGATTAGATCCTGAAGATAAGTCCACATGCACACCATTGACCTGCATCTCTTGCTTTATAGCAGTGAGAAGCAAGGTAATGTTACCTGAAATTACTGGCTTAACTCCTGTAAAACTGTCTGAAGGCAGCATAAAGAGCTGGAGCAAAGGCCCAGAGACACTGTTTGCCTACCCATACTTGTGTGACCTGTAGGATGAACAGCAAACCTCATCTTCTTTCCAGTGCTCAGTCTCCCTGGGAGCTGTTTTTTCCCCTCAGCTTGTCAGTGTATGAAATAGGCAGGGCTCAGCTCTGCTTGCACTGAAAACACCTAACAGCTTGAACCACATTGAAACAACCACACAAAGAGGGGAGCACAGAGACTGTCAAAATACCAGCATCATGGCACTGGAAGTGATGCATGTCTGCATAAATGTCAGCAACAGCTATGAAAGGACTGCAAGATCCTTTATCCAGGTTAAATAATTCAAGTTCTGGGAAGCATTTGTGCTTTTTAAACATGAGTTGGGTTTTTTAAAAGCTGCAGGATGTTTATGCAATTTCCAGCACTTGTTAGTGGAGAAATTGTCTTTGAAGGGACCTACAGCAGATGAGCTTAAAATACTGCTCCATGTGCTGTATTGTGTGTTTGATGCTGTAGAATGTAAAGAAAGGATTTATTAATAGCATGGAAGATGTGTCTTGACTGAAAAAATGTCTTTTAAATTTACTGTCATTCTGGGAACTAAACAGTAAGTCATAAGGATATCAAAGTCCCTAGGTTTGGGGTTTTTAACTGGCAAATGTTTTTAAAAGCAAGAAAACAGTTTCTTCGGTTTCTGCAGTTGCTTAATGTCAGGGCTATGTTATTTTCATAGAGATTGTACCTTTCTCCCATGGTGCTATTAATTCAGCAAGGCCTCATTGTTGGCTTGACTAGCAAATTAAATACATGGGCATTGGTTCCATTAAAGCCATGACAAATATTTCTTCTTGCTTCCAGTATTGCTACCGTGAAATCAATGGTGTACCAGCTGTCCTCATAACAATTCCATTAACAAGGCAAAGCCCTGGAGCTTAGGAGTTTTGGCAATCTTTCTAGGATACTATTTAATAGTAAACCTGTGCACAACCCATCCTTGAGAAGAAATTAGGTAATTCCCATCAGTAGGCACCTTCAGCAGTGCCCATGTCTCCCTGGCTTCCCAGTCCCTGCTGGCTGGATAGCCTCTGTGGTTTTGAGGACTGGAGTATTTGTGAAGGAACATGCAAGCTCTACTTGCAGGTCTGGTCTAAAGTACTGATGGGGGAGTGCCCCATGATCTTCCTGTGTTAGGCTAAAAAGAACACAATTCTGTAATTCAGTCTATCAGCAGGTCTGGAACACTGTAATCAATTTGAAATGCTGTTTCTGTATCACTTACCAGTACAGGATGGCAACAACTTTATTTTGTATGTAAATTTCTGAAGCGTCTATGGTAAATAACTTCTAGTGCTTCCAATGTAATTTTTTAAGTACTGCACAAACACACTTCACGTACTGTGTTGGAGGTGCTTAATTCTGCAGAGATAAACACTGAAACTAGCTAGTCTGCTACATGGTAGACCTGGCTACAAGGTACAATTCTGAGAGCTCCTTGCAGCTGGAGATTCTACCTCAAAGGCACAGGGGAGCCATGAGGCCTCTCCTTGTCCTTGCTGCACTAAGGTAAGGGAGGAGAAGGATTTGAGATGTACAGATGGAGTCCCAAAAAGCCATGTTCTCTCTGCTGCAGGGAGCAGAGAAGGGGATAAGAGACTGTTTTAGCCTGCTTCTTGCAAGTTAGCCCATAAGGGGCTCTCTATCCTGTTTTCTGGGGTTTTTTTGTCAGTGTCCTGGGGTGACGTTATGGTGCTTGTATCCCCATTCATCTGTTCTGTGCCTTTAAGACCGGCTCTGAAGAGTGGAAGTTTTGTTTGGGTTTCTCTTGTCAGGGACACAGAGACCAGCAGTACATAGGGCTGTTTTTCACTTCTTGCTTTCAGCTTGCTGCTTTGCTTGCTCCCTTTTCTGCTCTCGCTTCTGCTCTGCTTTGGCCTCTGCTTATTAGCTAGTTCTAGCTAAACAGTCCACATCCCTTCCTGGACTGTTTCTCCTCTCCTGTTTCTGTCCTGGGATCCCCCTGTCACACCAGCAATAGAAACAGACTCTGTCCCCACACGTCTTGATGGGATTAATGTGCATTGCACACCAGTATCAACCAAAGCTTTGTACTCTTATGGTTCCGATGTGCCAGGCCAACGAATCCACACAGACCAGAAAACACGATTTTCCCAGGCCTCTACCTGGCTAGAGGCAGGACCCCTCTAAGCCTGGTTATCCTTCTTTCCCTGGGCGTATGTTTTGGATGTTCCTTCGAGGGGATCAGACATGTCATCATCATCATACCTGGCCGTTCGGCTACGGGCAACTGGAGCTGCTTTCCTTCTGGTGGCTTCCTTCAGTTCACACACCCGTCGTGCCAGAACAGCAGTAGGTTTCCTATCCCACCTTCCCATGTTTTCCCCACAATCACGCAGGTAGAACCACAGCTCAGCTCGTGGGGTGTACCTTCTCTCACCATCTGGGAAACGTCTGCCTTGGATACCAGAACCTCTGATCCGTACTGCCGAGATTTGGAGAAGGTCTTCTTTAATCTCCTCTCTGAGCTTCTTATGGTTCTCCTCTATCTTATCCTCCAAGTTCTGCAGACGTGTTTCTACCGCTGCGATTCTGGCATGTGTCGGGCCATGTACAGCATCTGCATATGCTCGGAGCTTCCTTGCCATGTCAAGCACAGTCTCATCCCTCTCATCCCTCTTCATTATGGCTAAGGCAGAACCATATTCGTGTGGCCCAAGTCGTACGAGTTTTCGCCACATCACAGGCGTGCATGGTACTAAGTCTGGGTTCCTAGTTGTTACATCATCTGAGAAGATAATCTCTGCCACTGCCATTTCTCTCAGGCATTGGATCCCTTGCTCTATTGTCTTCCACTGAGTTTGCTGCATATAGACATCGTCTGCACACAGGTATCTTTGTGCTACACTTCTTAGGACCCGTTCCCAGAGGCTGTGGGGGTTAGCCCCCCTCATCATTCCTTGGTCTATGACAGGATCCTGTGACAGCGATCCCAAATGCCTGGCTTCAGTGCCATCCAGAATTGTAGCCTCACTTGCAGCATCCCAGAGACAGACCAGCCAGATAATTATGGATTCATCAGACCTTCGAGTGTAATCCTTCCGTAAGCCACGAAGGTCCTTCAGGGAAAAGGACTCAATATTTGCATCTGATCTTGCACCTGCTGCTTTGATTTCTGATTTTATGTCAGGAGGCATTGAGGTTCCTTCTCCTTCATCATCATCATCACCCACTGGTCGATTGGTCTTGTCCGTGCATTTCCCACTTCTAGTGCTGGTAGCAACAGCCATGGGTTTAGCTGCTGGCTTCGAGCCTGGGGTGTTGGCTGCAGCCTGAGTCACCGGGACAGTTGCTGATTTATCTCCCTGCCCCTCTGCCTCTGTCTGCTGCCCGACAGTATCTAGCAGTGTGTGATAAGCATATGCCAGGGCCCAGCTCACTGCAATGACCTTCCCCCTTAGGCTCATCCTGGTACTTCTCTTTCAGATATTTCCCCACCTCAGCTGGGTTCTGAATTTTTTCGTGGGGAAAATCCCAGACTATAGGGTCAGAGAATTCCTTCAGGATTTGGCCCATATCCTCCCATTTCCCACACCACTTAGGATTTTCCACACCGGGGTCTACTCCTGAGTCAGGGGTCTCATCAGCCCGTCTAGAAATCTCAGCTCTCATTCTAGAGAAGCAGCAGGCTGTATAGAGGAAGGTTACCAGATTGAATACCAGGAAGATGGTTTCTTTAACATTGAGGGGAAACTGAACATCCTTCACTAGTCATGCAACTGATTCATAGGAGAAGGAGGAAAGCAGAGACTGAAAAACCTCATTCCCTCCTGCTCCTCCTGCAACAAACTGGATGCATAACCATAGCCATGAACCATTCATACCTGGAGCAGACCCTAGCATGTTTATAAACTTCTTGCACATCATTGCCACCAAGCCCAGCAGGATAGCTACTCTGGTCACTGCCCCTCTGATGTAAAAACTACGTATTAGGGGCAATACTAAAGCTATTTCTGGATAAGAAAATAAACCTAGGGACCAGAGAGGTATTAAAATCTCAAAAAACCCTAGGGACCAGAAATGCATGCAAACCTTCACCCCAATAGATATTATGAATTCAAAAAACATGGCTATTAGCTGATTTAAACGAACACGGAGTAATAGCAACCAAAATGCAGTCAAAACAGGGTTTTTCCACTCTCTCTCTCGCCCCACGTTTGGGCACCAATATTTTGTGCTGGTTTAGGGCAAATTTGTTAAAGAATCTGCAAAGGAGGGCCCCTCCAGAAAGCAAACCCACACGGCCCCTCCCCCCAACTGGTTCGGGAAAAATTCCTCGGAGAGAAGTGGAAAGAACCTGCTTATTTCAGGCACAGCACCCCCCAGCACACAAATGAACAATACCCGATGACACCGCTCTGAGAAAGATGACAAAATCAGAAAGTCTCTTTCGGGGGTGGTTGCTCTGTTCTCAGTCCCTCCGGCGCTGGGGCAGCTGCTGCAGCCAAACGGTGCAAACCTTCGGTGTTCCCGGGCCCCAGTCCGGAGCAGGTTCGAGATGGTCACAGGAACAGGAGAGGAGAAACAGTCCGGGAAGGAATTTGGACTCTTTAGCTAGAACTAGCTAGTAAGCAGAGGCCAAAGCAGAGCAGAAGCGAGAGCAGAAAAGGGAGCAAGCAAAGCAGCAAGCTGAAAGCAAGAAGCGAAAAACAGCCCTATGTACTGCCTGTCTGTGTGTCCCTGACAAGAGAAACCCAAACAAAACTTCCACTCTTCAGACCCAGTCTTAAAGGCACAGAACAATGGGGATATAAGCATCATAACGTAATCCCAGGACAGTCAGATTAATACAAATAAGGACTTGGCATGTGAAAAGCTATCTGTTGGCATCCAGTGGTAACGCCTAAGAGAAGGCACATATGCTCCAGGAGAAGGCACATGTGCTCCAGGAGAGGGAAGAGTTTTCAGCAGGATGGGCTGTGACTCCCAGATGCTGCAGTCACCAGATGGCTTTTCCTCCCTTTTCCCAGGGAGCTGCTGGGCCAGATTTGCAAACAAGGATACATTTGCTCCTAAGTATCACCATTTTGTAGCTCCATTGCTGCACAGCTTACAGTTTACACACAGCCTGATGCCTCAGCACTGCCTGTCTCTGCTGCACCACCCTCAGCTGTCAGATGCATCCTGCAGCAAAACAGCTCTGTGAGGATCAGACAAGGAACCTGGGATGATCCTGACAGCTTAATAGACCTTTGGGCTGCAAGGTTAATGTGGATGCTGCTACAGTGAAACACAGGACTAAGTTCTTATCTTTTTTTTGTTAAGGGCGGTAGCAGTATCCGTGTGGTAGTGCTCCCTGGTCTCTCCCTTAATCTAAGAGATTAATCTCCTTGCATGTCTGTGCTTCTTAGTACCACCAGGGCTTTCCAGGATAAGATTCATTTACCTTCAGAAACCAAGGGAAGAGCTGAGCCTGTGTCATGCATATCCAAGTACATGGCTTGGCTGAAAGTGTGTGGCTCTAATTTGATGATTCAGTTGGTCATTTCAAAGTCTTCACAGTGCACATAGAAGGAGGTAGTTTTTTAAGTCTGCCAGTTTTTTTCATTTTAATATGTTTTCAAGCATTTTTATTCCACATTCATTTTCTGATACAGAACTTGCACAGTGGAGGAAACAAGCTATGGTGAAGTGTTTTATATGACACCACGGGCACATTTATTAAGATTTGGAGAGCAACAAGTATGTTTCCCACATTGCTGAACAGTGTTCCTCTGCTTCGCTGGTCAGAGCTAAATCATCAGCAGTGTTTGTGCACAAGCTCTGGAGAAATCTCTGGGACTTTTGCCAGAATGTATGTAAAAGGCTGAAAAACTTCACTCTCTAACAGACATTTAAAGGTAGATTTTTAGCAAGAGAGAACATTTTCTAGGATGTGTCATCTGCCCAAGATTAAGGTTTCAGTACAGCAGTGCTTCTTCTGTGGAGACTTCTTACTGAGCAGGATCCCACCCACATTAACAGTGGGAGGTTTGGATGTGCTGGGTCCAGTCTGCTGCAGGTCTGGGAGATCCACAAGCCTGTGGGGAATTCCTCCCAGGCTGAATGATGAGTGTACACTGACAGCTGTGAGAGCATACGTAGTGTAAGTTCAGATTTGGGGTATTTCACTTCACAGCTTTTTTAGGGCACAGCATTTATTCTTGCATTTATGTGGACATAAGGGACAGCAGTAAGAGAAATAATTCCTAGCAGAACAAAATTTAGTTAATGGACATGGTCATCTAGACAAAACAGCAAAGGGAGAGAATGTGACCTGTGTGCAGTGAGTATCTGGACAAACACTTTTAACACTAGGAAACTGAAGGGAGTGAGGAATAGAAGAGAAGGTTGTCATTTGCGGATTAGTTTGGCTGTCTCTAAGATTGAGTGTTGTCTTCACATGTGCATGGGATTGAAGGATATTCACCCATCTAAACCCCTTGATTTCTGAGACTCTGTTTTATATCTGGTGGCCTTAAATTCCATTTAGTTGGGGGTGGAGATCAGTTTTTTTTAAGAAACACTGGGATGCATTTGACACAGCATCTCAAATGATTCAGCAAATGTTGGCAAAAATTGTAACTCACAATTCTTGAAATTAGCCATGTCTCCATATGTTAGAAGTGCTTGTTAAACTAGTTATTCCTCTGTAGTTACTTGAGATCAACTTTGAAAAATAAAATAAAATAAAGTATTTTTTTAATACTTCTATAATTTGTGTGAAACAATTTTATCTTTCATTCATGCATACCACATCCTAACTATGAAACACCGTGCAGGAATTTTATAGAAAAATTAATCCCCTTTAACACTGGATTGTAGTCTAAACTGAGGTTGCATTAAATTGACAAGTTGGCTTGAATAGTTTCCAACTCTGCAGAAAACATCAACAGTCCTACTGGATAAAATCTTCATAAAAACTACAGCCACTATTTCGTTTCAACTGTTAGTGCATAAAACAGAACAGAGGCACCACAAATACTCTGTCAAGGCACTTATTGCCTTTAGATTTCCACAGTGTAGCACAGATCACTGGGAATGACCTCCATGGCCAGGAACTACACTCCAGTTCTGCACTTGGGAAAAATAGGCCCATTCACCTCTGCAAGTCTTCTCTTCCTCACTGAAAAAGAAGAGAAAGAGGAGTCAGTCATGGCAGCGGGATAATGTGGATGGCAGGCTTGCCCTAACAGCCATAGAAAGGAGCTGAAAGATGTACTTTCTGCCAGGAAAGAAACAGGATAGCATCACCTTCTGAATTCCCGCCTTAAGCAGCAGGCACAGCCTTACACAGTAAAATCAAGGAAGATGAGGTTTTTCTCCCTATAGACTTTTAAGGCCAGCAGCTACTTTCAGCCTTACCTCCCTTATTTTATAGTCAATGATATTTCACAGTTTGCCTTTGTAATTGGACTTCAGCCAGTTCATCATCTGACTGATGGAAAGACAGCAGGAAACAGATGTCACAGTTTTTCCTTTGCTGGTTTTTCAAATTAAAAATCTGCCTTTTCAATTAAAAAAAAAAATTTTAAAAATCTCCTCTTATCCTAAGACATTGGGCTCCAGTCCTCTGATCATGGTTAACATAGCCAAAAGTTGATTTATACCTCTTGACACCTACACTCGTGACTCTCCAAGAAAGGCGTGGAAAAAAAACCCAGAACGTAAGGAGGATGCAGAAGTTAGCTGGTGAAGATGAACATAAAAGCCTTCACAGTCAGTTCACACACAGCATCTTAGGGAACGGAAGGTATGAGACCAAAACCATGTTCTGGTAGCATCACTTGATAGGCAAGAGCACTGGAGTGGAGCACAAGCAGAGAGCTATTGCTGACAGGGAGGAAAATAAAGGGTTTTTTTTACTTATACATTGTCCAGGTGTACAGCTGAGATGCTACCGCCAGAGACCATCAGACTGATGACTACGAGCTGCAAACAAGAACCAAATCAGACAAAAAATGCAGATCTTAAGTGGACAAGGAGGTAAAATACACAACTCTTACGTGGAAGACAAGTTGTGAATTTGTCCTCTTAACAGCAGGAACAATCAAAATACTAGATTGTAAATCTTGGAGGTGATTATTTTGCATGCCAGGTGCTGCAGAGTCATTAAAAATCATGCTCTGTTCCAAAGGACAAAATAGCAAGCCTTTCCCAGTGCAGTGCTGGAGTGACGAGGTACTGAGTGCTTTGTATGATCCTTGAAGAACTGGCACATAGCTTGGCTGTGCTTCTTAGGAGCAGAGTACCAGCTGAAGCATGATTGATTTTTTCCATTTGTTTTTAAAACACAACAAATTTATCATCTGCCTGATATGACAGCTGCTGTGTACAGCGTGGTGGGTGTGTTAGCTGCATTCAGCACTGCTGGCCTGGTTTCCAGTGCTCTACAGCAGCTTGTGGCCAAGCGATGGAAAGGCTCTGCCACGTGCTTTGGCTGAAATGGCAGTTTGAAGACTTGCCCACATTTTGCTTCACAAGCACGTCTAATCATTTCATTGAGGGTACACAGATAACTCAAAGCAATGTGGTTTCCCACATATCCCTAGAAACAGTTGCAGTTTTGCTGAGGGGGATGGGCCAAACTTTAACTGCTGTGCAAGTTCGACTCTACTATTTTTCATCTCCTTGTTAAAGTGGGAATGAAGCTGGAGGAAGACAAGCAGTTGGCAGGAATCACAAATGCTAGAAGCTCGTAGCCCATGTGCCGCACGCTGTATCACAAGCCCTACTGAACCACATCAGCAGCCCTTGTTCTTTCCCAACAATACCCACTGTAACTGCAAGAAACACTGCCTGGCTGACAGCAGCCACAGTAAGAAACCAGCTGGTGAAGGCTGCCCTCCTCCTTGAGGGGCAAAGCACCATCAGGCCCTTCAAGAGGCACAGTCTAATTCATATGCATCTTTAATATGAGCAGTTCTGCCCTAATCCCACCAGGAATTGCCCGCAGGACCCTCCCATGCTTCCCAGCTTTTGGCCAGCCTGACTCACCCAGGTCGTTGTTACTCATCATGGCATTGGAGGCGCGAAGCCGGGGACCTTGCTGAATGAAATGGTACCCAAATTTCAGTAGGGAGGTGTTCTTTTCCAATATATTTGCGATTTCCATTTCTACTTTGTTGCCCAAGGGCTGACTCTTTTTAAAACAGAAAACAGAAAAGCAAACGGTTCAGGCTAGAGGGTGATTCGGAGCAAGCACTTAGAGGGAAGGGGTGGAGATTGCAGATCTTTCTCTGGACCTGTGTCCATTTCTGACTTGGAGCTGGTAAAACAAGCTGCTGGCCTGTTCCTGTACACATGCTACAACTGAGAGGCTCCAGCTCCTCCAGCAGACATTCCCACAAGTCCTTTTGCCCAAAGACTTTATTTCTTGGACAGATTAGCAGCTGCTGGACATGTGTAGAAACCAGGATTCTGGTCTCTCAATCAGTCAGCTGTCTCTGAGTTGCCCATAGCACAGCTGCCTCAAGCTGTGGGTTTCTCAGGGAGCTGTGCTTGCCCCAGGCTCTGTGTCACGGCACACTCTGCTCCCCCAGGCTCCCCGGAGCAGAGCTGCCACCCACGCTCGCTTCACCTGGTTGTCAATGCGCAGCTCCACGAGCGACGTGTTGCCCTCCAGCGCTTCAACGATAGCCAGGATCCCAGACCCAGAAATGAAGTTTGACTCCACATTCAGGCTCTTCAGTGTGCTATTGACCTTCAACATTTCTGCCAGGGCCTGTGGACAGAGGTGGGCAGGAGGAGCTGGCAGTGAGACAGGAGGGGCAGAGCACCACACGGCAGCAGGGCTTCAGCCCCCCTCACCTCCAGAGTACTCCTGGAGCATCCTACACACTGTGCAGTTTCACTGTCACCAGGTGGAAGTGCTCTCTGTGGAGTGAAGGGGGCTCCCTCCTGCTGCAGGGGGATGCTTGAACATGGGCCTGCTGGAGGCCACAGCAAAACCTGGCATGGACAGCACTTGGGGCTACCCCAAAAGGTGATAGTCCATACCTTGCAGCTGCCCTGTGACAGCTTCATCTGTCCCTCCCCTCAAGTCAGCATGGTATGACAAGGATGCTGACCAGCATTGGCCCTGCCTGCACTGCACAGGGTAGAGATGCTTCCCATTAAAACATGCAGAGAGAGGAGCATCTGTCTTGAACAAGGGATCTCCACATCCAAAGTGTCCTCCCAAGCAGCCATATTAATCATTTTTACCTCCTTAGTGGGTAAGACCGGAAATGGCTGGAATGCTCGTAACACCCCAGACCTGATCAGATCATGTCACTTCAAATAAACTGCAAGGGAGGATTCACCTACGTGAAGCTGAAGGACCAGAAGGTGATGCCCACGTGGCAGGGCTAATCTGCACCCACAGCACTTAGCCCCACAGCTCCCCCAGCCCAGCTCAGCACGCTCAAGCTCTGACACAGCACCTGTCCTGCCTGCACAGGCAATCTCCCCAGTCCAGAGGGCCTGAACTCATTTAGGAGCAGTATTGCCCTCCAGAGAGTTTCTTTCTCTAGCAGGAAACTGGTGTGTGCGTGTGTGTGTGTGTGTGTGTGTGCGTGTGTGTGTGTGTGTGGAGGTAGGCAGGGGTAACCTGGGTGACCAAGAGCAAAACCTGACTGCAATGGTGCTGGAGAAGGATGCAAAGATGCAGCCCGCAAGGCAGCAGGAAGGCCAGGCAGAATGACTGGCTCCTCCCTGTGTCCCCACTGATACTTAAGATCACTCACAGCAGCCAGAAAGACCCCTTATCACCTACCTACAGAGGGCACACATTAGGGGATGCAGAGACCTGCTTCTGCACACGTCTGCGCAAAGAACACATGAGAGACAGCTGGAACAGACGTGTGTGGGGGAGCAGCAGGTGTGCACACCTTTGTACCAACAGAAACAAATCTCCAGAGACAAACTGCTTTTAGAAGATGCCACGAGGACATCAGTTGTTGTCTCATGCTCCTTTTCCAGGAGATCCTAGAGGAGAAATACAGGACTGCATGGTTAAAGGACTGAAACCTCCATAGATGAAAAATGAAGTGAAGGAACCAAAGCCTGTCTGTTGCTGGCTTCCACTAATGCTCCTGAAACTGAATTACTAGCAAACAGCCAGAGGTGTGGAATGTGCCAAACACAACACAAGGTGCAGAAGCAGCCAGTCAATAAGGTTGAAAATACCTTGCCTGGGAACAGTTCCTGTCACAACACTGGGACAATGAGCTCACAGTACTTACAAAAGCAACAGGGTCATTGCTCCGGGTCCCAACTATGCTGAACTTCTTCACATATGCGTTGTTTTTCAGCGCTTCTGCAAAAGCTTTTAGAGTTGGTATAGGAATATTCTGTGACAAGAAATGCAGAAATCATGTGTCAGGCCATCATCTGTATGCAATGAATATGCAATACATGTACAAGATTCTCATCAAGGTCAAATCACCAAATGCACTGAAGTAATTTGGGAAGGGGTTGAAAAATGTTTTCACAAGTTTTCACTCTTGCTTATAATCAGCGTGTTCTAAGGAGCATGGCAACGTCTTCATCCTATTTTGTGCTCTGCTAAAAGCTCACTGACTTGATTTGAGCCACATCTCTGCTCTTTAGTTGCCCAGAAACTCAGCTACCTAGGAACATGGGCATTGTGGGGATGCTGGTAACCAGGATCCGTGAGCCTACAGAGCACTGCTCCTGTGCTCTCTGGTAGGAATGGCAGCACTGAGAAACATTCATGTCACGTTCAGAAAATTTCCACCTACAGGAACTGATCCAGAAAGGCCTGAAATTATCTCCTCATAACACAAATCACAGACACCTCTGACTGCTTTATACAACACCTTACAGGCTATGTCTCAGCCCAGAAAAAAATCCATGCTGCTTTTTCTGAGTTCCTTCAAAATCAGTATTTTTCACTTATGAAGAACTTTAGATACCCCTTTCAGATGTTCAAATTTTCACTAAAATTGTAAGTGGCATCCTCACCTTGGATTTCTTGCCACACCATTTGGATCCCACCATGTGGAATCATCTATACTCAAAGTCATCTGCAGAGCCATAATACAGCACCCAGAAGCACAGCATCTCCACCGTCACTCCCCAGTTCTCCAACCCCATCCCAAAGTCATGAGTTCAACACACAAAAATAGTGCCTGCCTGCCCAATCCTCAGCCCTGTGTCCTCAAGGGATGAGGTCACTAGCCCAAATCAAATCGTAAAAACAAAATAAAAACATTTCTGTTTTAGAAAGATGGGGACAAAAATGTCTTTGATGTGCACGTGCAGTTAACTGTGTTCTTGCTGTTTAGCTATGTCATCATTTAACAGACCCCTTAAAATAGAAGCTGTATTTTTTAGCGGATGTATGTGTCCCAAAGGCAACATAAGAAGCAGTGCTATGTCCTGACTTGCTTTCTACAAGAAGCAAAAGAGTCCACAGAAGGGATGGTTGGATGATAGACAGAGTCACCTGCGTGAAGGGCGACTTCTTCATATTTTTATGGCAAGTATCTGGATTGTGAAAGCTTTTTCCTCCCGCCATCTTATAATACACATCAACATTCCCTCCCCCAAATATGCCTGTCTAAGTCATTAAAGCAATCTAAAATGGCTTTAACCAGACAGCCAGTTTTGGGTGTCCCCAGAACACCCTTGACACAGCTCTGTTTTTCCAGGCACTTAGAGGGATCCTCCTGCTACCAACCCCAGGCCTTTGTCCCACAGCAGGTAACAATCCATTCTGCTGCCCACAATGGAGAAAGGAAGCGCTGGTGTTTCTTGTCTGGCTACATTCAGTGTGATGATACTGCTCTGTGCAGCAAAACAGTGCCTGCCTTCTGGCCATCAGAGTCTTGTTACTAGGAGAGGAGGGTAGAAAGGAAGAAATACCATAATATTGTTAAGGTTGACTTCTTCCAGGTCAGGATCATTGCTTTGTATTCGTTTCAGGGTTTCCTCCACATCCGTTGAGTTTGGCTCCTCATCAGGAACTGGTTTGTACTGTGTGGGCTTAATCACACCTGCGAGTGAAAAGCAAGATGTGAAAATGGAAGCAGCCTGAGTAGCACTATCTTTTCTTTGAGTGTTTTCCTCCTCTTCCAGAAGAGAGATGGAAGCATGACCTGACAAGCAGCCATGAGATGAGAAGCCACTCCACTGGGGCCCTGCAGCCCAGGACAGCCCGTGCCTGCTGTGTGTGCTGTTGGTGTCCAGATGCGAGTGACACAAGGCACACTGCCTGCACAAGGCTGTCCCTAGGGTGGCACCGGGGAGGTGGCTGAGACCCCACTGCTGGCACAGGGCAAGGATGCACCAGAGATGGCCCCAGCAATCATAGGCTGCTCTGACACGCACAGCTCTACCCTTCAGCCTAAAAATAATCATCACTGCCTCCGCTGGCAGCTTCAAAGCCCAATACTGCTAACGTGAATCACTTACTGTTGAGGCCTTCTTTGTTCACAATGGTGCTGCTCCCCAGTGCCTCATAGTACTGCTGGTTACTCATCAACGTGTGCATGCCAAGGATGGCTACAGAAACAGGAGAACAGGACTTATTGTAGGCTCCAGGGCCAGGAAAAGACTCTACAGCACACTACCTTTCCCTATGCAAGCATAAAAAACATACAAAGGGAGGACAAAGCCCCTCAGCTGACATTAATATAAACAGTGCTCCAATGTGTTTGCTTGTTTATTCCAGTATAGCCTGAGCCACAGGAGAAGAGGAACATCCTCTTGTGGACAACAAACATTCAAAGCTTCCCAGTAACCTACCTGACTCAGCATCACACAAAAATAATGGGAAGAAGACAGTAAAAAACTCAGAAAAATGCCTTAGGTAGGCTTTAGTAAAAGTGGCCCAGTCCAGCAGGAGCCTGCACATCCTCATCACCCTTGCTCACTGGGCACATGCCACATAATTCCACAGGCCCGTTTTGGAGAAGAGCTGTGCCCCACATGGAGCCAAACCGACCGCAAGGCAGCAAGGGAGTGACTGTCACCTGCAGCACAGCAGTGCACATTGTGTTTTCACTCAACAGCAGGCTGGAGTGCTGCACTCGGTACGTTCGTACCTTTGGAAGGTGACATTGCGAGAAGCTAAAGCTCTGCTGTCTTGGTCAAAATGTAGAGAGTGCTGCTACGAACACCTTCAAATGCTGTCAGAGCCCAAAAGCCAAACTCAGCCCATTTGTGTCTCTCAGACTCAAGACTGCAAAGCCAATATGCAAATGCAAATTAAACCATGTCTGGGGGCTCTGGGGAACTTCCTGCAAATGACATACAAGAAATCAGTGGCTTAGGAACTTTTGAGCAAAGAGTTTGTTTTGAAAAGTAAGCCTGCTACGCACAGAAAAATCAAGTTGAAAATAAACTTATTTTTGAATCAATAACTTTTTTTTTAAAAAGCTATATGACTCTTTAAAGAAAAATGCAGACATATGAATATTTGTTGAAACAGACACATCTGAACAAGTCTTGATCTCTGGATAGACACAGTTGGGAAAACAATAAATTTCTCCCTAAAATCCAAGCATGCCACCACAAAGGCACTTTTTAGACTTGGTTGGCACCAGTGTGTCACCATGTTCTGTTGCTTTGGCCAAGAAGGGCTGGAATTTCAGGAGAAAGGTATCCTTGAAGCCTAGCACAAGAATAGGATCTGTTATGGTGACATGTTGCAGTGTGATGTCACGTTCCATCCGGTAATATTGGGATTTAATTCCAATAGTGACAGCTCATCGTGACTCTGGGTTGCACAGGCTGGACAGCCAGAAGCAAAGTGTCCCAGTGAACTTCTCCATGGCCACCAGCACATCCCCAACTGGATCTCACAGAGCCAAGCAGTCTCCATCTGAAAGTCTGAGTAAGGCTGGGCACTTCAGGTGTGATTGTTTGTATTTTAGCTCACCCTTTTCTCTGTCATTTTCTCGCAGATGGAATTTTCATGGGTGCAACAGAGGTTGGAAAAGGAATTTTCAGGCTCAGCATTTTGGTAACTCAGACAGTCCCCCAGTCACAGCTTATTTGGTCAATGAAATCTCTCCAGCAGCCAGGAGTGTGAGTATCTGGACTGCAGAGAGAGGTAAGCATCTGCTGTCACGACCATGCATTTTGGGGGCTCAAGTTTGTGTTGTTAGACAAGAGGGACCCACTCTTTCTAAGTCTGGTGCTTATAGTGTACTCTCCACAGGAACTCAGGCCCAACGAAGGCACCCCATTTCTGTCTCCCTCACCTGACCAAAGGCGTGGGAGCCCTTCCAGGGCTACTGGGAGCCACCCTCCTGGCCTTGCCAAGGAAGGGATCCAGCACACCGCAGCTCACAATGGTCCCTGCTAAACAGGCAGGAGCAAAATGAGCTCCTGCTAAATGAATCCTGCTAAGCAGGCAGGAGCAAGGCTGTCACTGTCAATATTGAGATTCCAGAACAGTTTGTATCACATCAGTACTCCTGCTCCCACTTAAGTGTATATGCTCCCAGCAACTGTAGAACAAGCTGCCCTGAAGAGCTTTTCCATGGGACAATAATTGCTACACAGATCTGTAGCTCAGAAAGGCTGATTTTATAGGACAGAGCTTTACGGGACTCAGGAATCAACAGCAAAAATAGTTAAATCCAGGGATGCAATGCTTGGCCAGGGTACATATGTTTGGGAGCCTTAATGCAAAACACATTTCTAAGCCAGAAGATGGTATTATTATGTAGAAGATGTCTAGTTGGTGCAGCTGTTCTACAGACTTTGTAAGTCTTACAGGCTTCCAGCGAGGACACTGCTAGGGAGTATGGAAACCTGAAGAGACAAAACTGGAAGAAGAAGCCAGTATCACTGAAATATTCACTGACTGCTGGACCAGCAGAGCACATGTGAGCTTCATAAGGCATCATGGGGTGTCCATGTGTTCCTTTGGCCAAGGCAGGCCCTATCCCAAGCACAGAGCTAAGTCCACACTATGGCCTTCAGCAACATACCAGTTTGTCATCTGACTGTCTAACCACACAAATCACAACAAACCCACCACTTAAAATGTGTTGAAAAAACTCCTTAACAAAGACCAGCCTGAGTGACCACTGAAAGACTTCTACAACGTGGCAGATCCTTTACCAGGTTGCACAAGAAATCCACTGGGTCCGCTTGACTGTTTCCTAAGATTTGGTTTGAAGAAAGTTTTGCTCTTGAATGTACAGGCTGGAATTAGCAACAGTCAGTGATAGAGACAAAGGAAGAGATCAAACCACGCACTGTTCCATACATAAACCCTTCTTCTTCCTCCTCATCTTTGGTCCCCACTCTTGATTAAATCACACAGGCTTAGAGTAATTTTTTTTTAACAAATAAATGAATTGTGTCAGAACTGACAGTGTTTAGAGAAACAGCAAAAAGTGCAATAGCTCATTTCTCACAAAAGAACAAAATAACCCCTAGAAGTTGAACAACATTCACCCCTGATTACTGAGAAATTATTTTACCAGCAATGTCACAGAGTTCTGCATCAGAGGCATTAGCAAGGGCTTCCTCCAGTTCCGGCTCCAGAGTCACACTTTCCAAAACAGGATCCATCGGCTTCTGCTTGGGAATCCAAGCTTTTCCTATGAATGCAAAATGAGGTCACTCTCAGTATAAGCTACAGCACCCAGTCCACAGCTACCCTTGCAGATGCATTTCCATGCTGTGAGATTTGAAAAGTAGAAAGGACAGAGGGAGTACAAGAGAAAAATCAGAGGAGAAACTGAATCGCTTTCCATCAGCTTGGTCTGAGTCCTGCTGCCATGCGAAGGGGGAGGCCGTGGGCAGCTGCAGAGCTCAGCCCTTCCAGCAGCACAGCACCCACGGAAACCCAGGAGCACACCGGAGCAGGATCACGGCTGTCCATAGCCCAGCACTCGGAAAGGCATGCACAGCCTGACCCCCGCCTCTCTGAAGGCTGCACAAAAGGGGTGAAGGTTTGCCACCACTCAAGAGAAGCCTGTCCCAGCGCTGGGCAGGATCAGTCCTGCCACCAAGACACCTCTTGCTGTTGTGCATGTTGGCAAGGCAGATGGCACATTAGTCACAAGAGGGTGGAAAGGAGGTGGTGGGAAGCTCTGGGAGCAAGTAGAGACAGCACTTAGTGAACATATGGGATGCAAGGAGGAGCAGGCTTAGGGCAGCTGGTCTAGCTCAACCCTATTGCAAAGAGTTGCCAGATGGAGACTCTGTGCTTTATCTCTCTGGGCAGAAGGAGGCCACAAAACAGACCTACTCCCTGCAACTCAAAGGTGCAAATCCACAGGTCCAGCTGCTAATGCAGACTTGTCATCTTAGCTGCTTGCCCATGGCCTTTTCCTGAGGGGGGTGCCCCCATGGACAGGAGGCTGGAGCTTTGGACGCAGTGGGCTCCCTGCCAGCCCCCATCCCACTGCTTGTGGCACCCTCTGGACAAGCCACAGCGCCTTCTCTGCTGGGGCTGGCTGCATCCCAGGAGGAATGGGGCAGCAGACAGGGCTGGAGATGGCCCTGCACAGCTGCTCCCAGCTCCCTGCTGCTCATGCTGCAATGGGCAGCAGATCCTTCTCGGAGAGGGAATGGGTCAGGTCTGGGATTTCTCAACATGGCATACACCTGTGACAGCCCACAAGAAAAGAGAGAGGCTTGTGATGCTTTAAGACTCCACAGCAGGGAGCAGTCTGCTGGGTAAATCCAGCATTGCTGGGACAGGTGCAGGAGGGCTCTGGGAATATTTTGGAGCAGTCCCCTCCCCTAAAATAGTCCTGGATCACTGCAGAGATAGTGACTGCAAAAGGCCTGGCCCAGCATGCCAGTCAGGACTATTTTTGTCACCTCTCTGAAACCAGAGTCAGTGATACCAAAAGGGAGAAACAATCCTGCTGCTCAGGGATATGCAGAAAGGGGCTAAATTTAGACTCAAGGAAGAAGCAACTGCACCTCAGGGTCCCCTGGGACAAAATGGAGGCTGCCATAAAGAGCCTTTTGCTCCTATCCTCTGCCTGCACATTGCTGCTCTGACAGAGAGAGCAGGAATCTGCCTCCTGAGACACAGCTGCTCTTGCAAAAATAGGCAGAGTGTCACGTGCCTGCACTGCACAGCACCTTCTGGGTACTAAGCAGCAAAATGTCTGCCCTGGCTTGCTGTGGAGATCTGAAACCCCTGTCCCACCAGATGCATGGCTGGGCAAACTGTATGTACCCTCTGGTGGGTGCAACGCCAGCAGGGAACAAGAGAAACAGGGCAAACTTAATTCTGCTGTCATGCAGTAACTCCTTCTGACACCTCAGTGACATCAGAATTTCTGGGGTTTAATTCTATTTTAATTTTAATTACCTAATTTCAGTCAATTTCTAAGTTTTAGAAAGTTTTGTATCTCAGTGGTGCTTTGTTACAAGATTGAACTTTAAATTAAACAGTGCATGCATGATGACAACACATGACATTTCATGTCGCAGTGTGCCAGGGACTGCACCTCCCATGGCCAACTAGTAAATCACCCTCCAAACTTCAAACATGGTGACTTATTTACAGCTTCATCACAGCTGTGAATATGTAATTTGCCATCTCTGGCTCACAGTTAATGTAAGTCATGTCTTCTCTCAACAGCGTATTACAAATCAAAATACGTTTCATGCTTTTAAATTCTCAACAAACTGAAGTATGATGCTGGAGACTCAAAATGCTTGAAATATCTCTGTCTCCTGCAGAACACTGCTTCTACCTTTTGGGCTTGCCAGATGGGTAAGCAACACTGGACTGGGACACATCTGAAAGGTATCAAACCAGTCTTCCTAATAGTACTCAATTTACTCATTTATCTCTCTCAAGGACTACTTTTAAAAAAAAAATTTAAATCTAAAAATACTGCCTCAAGTTTTGTTAAATGAACAGATTTTACACAAGCTCTTTTTAAGGGAGCCGTGTTGGTCAGTAAGGAGGCACCTTTCAGAAAGACCCTCAGGAAACATGTTGATATGCCCATATTTTCATGCATTTTTTTTTCACACCGGACAAGCAGATCTTCTGCTGCAGGGGAATCACGGTTCAGAGGGAGACACAACAGCTGAGAGAAGTTACTGAGAAGCTTCTGGAATGCAGAGGCAAGGACTGACCGGACCATGTCCCTTGTTAGATGATATTTGGAGTTGTAATGGGAGCAGGAAAGTCACTTGGATAATGAGTCATATACAAGGAGAGCAGCAAAAGATGCCAGAAGGAGAAGAAAAGCAAAGAGGCAGAGAAAAGCCCTGCTCACAGGCCTCAGGGCCATGCAGAGCAGGAGTGCAGCAGCCACTGCGGGGTACGGTGCAGGAAGACACAAACCTGCAGGAGACTGGGAAATAAGGCTGGAGCTGTCAAGAGATTATGAAAACTAGATGGGAACTGCTGGGCCTCATCACAGCTGCAGAGAGCTGTGGAGTTTCTCTATGGTGAGAAGCTCACGGAGTCAAAATGGAGAGTGAAAGGCAACAGTGAAACATGGAGCTTAACATGAGGAGCTCACAGGAGAACAGGGCAAGGAGGAACAGGAGAGGACAGAAGATGATTTCTTTCCCAGAACCTGATTCAGATGCATGGGTATGGGAGAAGGCTGCACAGTGATACAACTTCTGTCCAGCACTTAACAACATATCAGGTGGTGCCCAAATCAGCCAGCACAGGGACCTCGTGGGCCCACCCCAGTTTATCAGCCAGCCTGGGCTGGGGCTAGGCAGCAGAGAGAGCAGATTCACCACACCAGTAGTGTCAAAAAGAAGTTTTATCCACACAGATCAGACATAACCCTTCTGCTGTGCACCCACTATGCCTTCATTGTGATACACCCAGCACAGTGCAAAGGATGACCATACCTCTCTTTTCACCCGTGAAAGGAACCAAGTCTTCTCGGTCTTTAATGTCCTTTGCCTGCTTTTCTAGGTGGGCCATGAGTTCCTCCCTTTTGAAGGGGCCAGTTGGTGGCTTTTGTGTCTGGTCCCGCTGCCTGAGCCCTGCTGGCAGCAGTGCATTCTAGACATGGAGGTGAGAAACACAGGTTATCTCTGCAGGCCACAATCCCCATCCATCCAACACTCTCCCCTCTGCACCACTCTTCTTCCACAGTGCTGGACAGTTTGCTTCTCCTTGTGTCAAAGGTTATCTTCATCCAGCCCCACTCATTCCCACATCATCCAAGATAAGTGATACTCCTTTCCCCCTTCAGTTTCAAATGCTACCCAGTAGAGGTTTCTCTGCAACATCAGCTCCAGCCCTTTCTTTCTGGAATCTCTCAGCCACCTTCTCCCCACTATATGAGTCTGTGCAAGTGCCCACAATGCTCCATGTGTCCCAAAAAGAATCAGTTCAGTTAAATCTCATGATCTTTCACAGAGCAGATCAGAGAGTTGTGGTGGTCTCTTCTGCCTTTTAGGATCCATCACAAAACTACAGTGAGGGTCTCACAGAGAAGATCAGAGCAAACCCCCTGTGAATCCCAGGTTTTTTTCAAGCTGCCTCCTTGTTACTCAGTCACGTAAGCCTCCACGGGAAGTTGGTTTGTGCTTGACACATATGGCACGTAAACACCTGCTTATATTTAAATATAGAACAGCCTTAATGCAGTAAGTAAGACTATTCCCAGATTTGACACTAAGCATGTTCTTTAAAGCTTTACTGGATAGAAGTCAACATTTACTTTTTAAGACATCCAAGGTGATACTGAACAACACACTTTGATTTTTCCATGCCTGCCTGATAAAAGTACTTCATTATAATTTATGTCTGTATCAGTGAAAAGCCTGGGAAGGAAAATTACTAACAGGAAGCAGTTAGAATCGGGCAGCCCTGGAGGGCAAGAGAAGCATGTGAATTGCACAAACAGGGAGGCATAGGAGACAGCTTGCTTCCACAGACTTCATGTCGTGCAAAGCAACAATGCAATCTTCAAGCAGACTACACCTGCAATGACAGATGTCCGTAATTATTTTACCTTTCTTCATCTTTAACAGAATGCTGCCTCACCCCGTGTCTTCTGAGGTAGCTGTTACCAGCCCATCAGCCCATACACTTAATCCCAGGAGCCAGTTTGCCAGCTCTCAAATATTTTCCTGCATTACAATTAAAAATACTGATGATGCAATCTACAGCACCCATCGTTTACTCCAGAAACACTAACTGCATGTTGCAGGAACAATTTCTCACTTGGCAGTGCCCGAGCTCCTCGAGTAACATTGCCGTACACCAGAGGCCAGCCAGTTGGCTCTGCACATCCCCTGCAACGGGGCACTGCTGGCTCCAAAAACCTTTCACCAGCTTGGCTCCAGCAGCCCCCATGTTTCCATATGTGCAGCTCCTGCTGATGCTAGAAGGTTGCTAAAAATAAACTGTCCCACTTTGCAAAACTCCAGGATTTGGATTTCTGCCTAAATGGATGAAAATACAGGCCATTTGAAGTTTGTTACAAAAACCTCAAACCCAGAACACCAAAAACACCCCAGAAAACCCTCAAACCAAGCAACCTGCAAAGCATTCCCTCCAAGGTGGCCTGCTTAGAAACAGAGATCCATTTTCCACAGGATTACTGCACTGCACCAGCCCTGGCTCATATTGCTGCAGCAAGTCACAGATGCTCATCACATTGGGGAAAAGAACAGAAAAACAGAAACAAAGATACACATGTAGACTGTGCTTCCAACGTCAAAAAATTCTTCTGTGTATCTGCATCCAGTGTCTTCTACTCTTGCTCCAAGTACAGGCTCTGCAAAGGATCCCACTGAAATACAGATTACTAATGCAGCCCACTCCCCCACAATTACTAAGATTCACGACCTAACGTCTCAATTAAAAATTACTTACATCAGGATCCAGCTCTTCCAGTTCATTCTCTAACTTCCTGAGCTCCTCCTCTGTCAGAGCTCCAAGGATCTGATCTTCATCCAGGTCTCGGTATTTTTCTAGCTCCTTTCTGTAAGACATCTTAGAGGAGTCTTGTGGATCTCACTTCTATGCTGTAACAGAACCTGATATGAAAACAAGACATGTTAGCACTGAACACATGAAGCATGATGCTGCAGCCTGCCTGGCTGGGGAACACTGAACACTCCAGAGCTGGAGATTTGTGCTTAAAGCACAGCTGATTTCAAAGGATTGCTCAGAGCCCCCCTTTCATATCCCACACACAGACAATCACCCAGGGAGGAGAGAGCGGCACAGCTCCAGTAGCACACTGCCCACCACGGATCTAGGGGACAGCCCTGAGGAAGTTCTTGGTACAGGACCCTGGCTAGGGATGTGTTTCTGCAAGCAGTGCTAGATGTTAATGAAGCATCCTGGGCACTTATTTCTTTGAAGGACAATAAACTATAAGTCATGAAGCATTCAGCTCTCACTCATGTCCTTACAAGCCCCCAATAACACTGCCGTACACATGGCACTCCAGATAACATTGCTACTGGAGGGGAAAACAGATTTGTAGCACCACTGAGTACCTCTGAGCCCTGAAACCTCCACAGGGCTGCAGTGCATGGCACTTCTTCCCGTATTTTAAAGCCGCAAGGAGATCAGGAAGTATTATCCACTCGGGTTCAGGAGGCTGCCAGTTAAATGTGCTATTTAGTGACCCACCTTTCCTTGGACAGCACATGTTTGCCCTGCTGCCAGCTAAGCAGCTGACCTGTGTGCTACTGCACGTTCTACACCAACCCTGCAAGAAGAGAAGTGAATGGTCTATCAGGACAATCCCTGCTGACCCCAAGGTTTGGCCCATGTCTCCTAATACAATGTGCCATACACAATCATATGCATGTAACTGGACCTCTGCAAGCAAAAAGACAGCAGAGAAAAAGGTTCAATGTGTTGAAAACATGCAGGTGGGTTAAAAGTACACTCAGCATAACACACAAAAGCAAATCCAACTCTGCTCTTTTGCTGACAGTCTCCTTCTGCTCCACAGCACTGCCTGTACATTTACTTTTTTTTGGCTCTGTTTTTGCAGAGAATACCAAGTCCTAGATAATTTAAAGTAACTTTTCTTAAAGTGTTGCTATTCTTTTATGTGACATTTATGTTAAAAATAGCAGCAAGGCCTGTGTATTTTTTAGGGAGCCAAACATCTTCTGAGTTTCTATAAATGGTCTCTTTTCAGCTCCTGTGGAACATCAGAGCCCTACCCTGAATCACATCTTTCCAGCTTTGCTTGTCCCCTCCAGACAGATTATGCTCTTATGATCACTCTTCATTAGTGGAGAAGTTTCTTTATGCAAGTTACAACACAGCTGCTGTTCCAGATAGGAAAATTATCTTTAGCTTGGTCACAAAAGGGCACAGTAATGCACACATGCTTGCTCAACAGCAAGCCCTTAAATTTAGAAGCTGTCATCTTGTCAGACGTTTGGTTCCCCACTAGTGTGATGGCAATTCCTGCATCACTCACATTCCTGCCACTCGGCACTTAGGAAGCGCGAGGAGATGGTGCCTTCTGGATGGGAGAAACAGCCCCTGAAAGTCCCTCAGTTTCTCTGGGAACTGAGAGGGTGAAAATCACCTTTTCACTGCGCTGGTTTGCTCCAAGGAGCAGCCATCAGCCCGTGGGCACCGCGCCAAGGGCAGCCAGGAGGGTGGATGGAAGCAGGAGCGGTGTGGCTCAGGGGGTCTGGCTGAGTGGGGGGAAGGAACCCCACAGCCCTGTGCTTCACCAGCCCCCTGCAGCCCTCAGTGCAGGGCTCCCTGTGCTGCAAGGCTGGCAGGCAGCAGCCACACACCAGCCAGCCTACGAGCCGAGCCGTGTCCCCTGCTCAGCCCCTGCAGGCACAGAGAAGGGCCTTTGCTGCAGTTGCCCATGAACACTGAGGCAGGAGATCCTAGAATAGCAGCCTGCACTTCGATCTGGATATGTGTGGGATCTCAGCCCCTCAGGACTGAGGTGCAGAGTGACCGAGACCGCCCTTGGGGGGCTCGGGAGTCCTGGAATGTTGCCAGAAGTGTCTGGTGGCTGGACTTTGATCCTACACAGGAGACGACATCTGTATGAGGATGGGAGGATTTCACTGGGGTGAATGGTGAAGGGATAAGTTAGTTAGAGTGAAACACAGGGTTTAAGATTTCTGTACAGGAGGGTCTAAAGAAGTAAGATGGAGGAATTGGGGCGTGTCCTGTTCTTCTTCTTCTTCTTGGCCTCCATCTTCTGTGGTGATGTTGGCACTTTGGGATTGGTTATTACTAAAAGTGCACTGGTTAATAAGGGTAAAAGGTATTGGGGAAAAATGATAAATATTGTATACGTAACTTCGAGTATAAAGATAGGTGACCGCCCCAGGGGCTCTCAGTGTGTGCCCATGGCTGACTGCTGAGCAGACCTCTGTCGGGCAGAGGGAAAATCTTTTAGATAAACAATTAATAAACACCGAGACCGAGAAAAGATCTGAAGTCCCTTCTCGTCCTTTGAAGCGCGGGCTGTCCAAGGCCACCCCGGGCCTTTCCAGGCCATCTAAACAGCCGAGAATCCGGCAGATATGTGCTGTGCTACTGCAGCCTTAGATAGCAGTGCACGAGCCACCACCAGCCTGGATTTCATCTGCCATATGTAGTTTTGACCATTCTGCCACGGAAGGAGCTGGAGCTAGAAGCAAGGAGAAAGGCAGAGAATAACCCACCTCAGGCTGCTAAATTCCCTAAAATGACTTAAAATACCCACACCTGCCACACACAGAGCAATATCTGTCTTGGCTACATGAGGACAACTATTCCCAGAGGCAGCCACAGACCCTTCCCAGGAATGCAGGCAAGACTCAAGCAGGGCCTGTCTGGGAGCAGAGCGCAGCCCCGCAGGGTGACCTTGTTGCCTCCCTCCAGAAGGACAGAGGTGTCAGCACCGAGAGGCAGGACAGACACGGGATGTCAGTGCACACAGGCAACGCTTCTGGAAAACGCCTCAGGTTTCAAAGCATCTTGCAGAGATATGAAGCCAAGACTGCATATAGAAAAGGCCCTGAGGGCTGAAGACAGGTGCAGAGCCTGCTGAAGCACAGCTGAAATCCCCGTGGAGAGAATTCAATTTCCTGAGTATCCCAAAGAGAAGTGTCGGGGGGCACAGTGCCTTCCCAGACTGCTGGTGCAGCCAGACGGTGCCGGCACCTCACACATTTCCCGTGGAGAGCACACTGAGAGGGCTGCTCATGGAGAGGAGCAGCCTTGCCCGTGGCAGCAGGACATTCTGTACTGCTCCCCTGCCTGCAGAACCAGCTGCTCAGCTCCATCTCCTCCTGCACAGCCGCCAGGACCTATGTGTTCGCTGGCGCTCCCTTATCTCCACATCCCAGGCCTCTTCTAACCTATCTTGCTAATGAGTGCTGGGAGAAAAAGCAAACCAGCCCATCTGCTGTAAATGGAAGAGGGCTTTGAACTGGCAGTGATAAGAAAGCAGGTAAATTCTGCCTAAGTGAAATTGTTTTCGTTTATACAGAGTACAACCCACCACCACAAAACGGTTCTCCCTGACTTGTGCCAGAGTAAAAGCATGGTTTAACACAGGTTCCACCTTCACCTCGGCTCAAACTAAACAACAAGATCCTTCAGCACAACTTGAGTTCTCACTCTTTTTCATTAACCCTATCACTCTTCATTCAGTCAGCTAAGGAAGGCATCACAAAATAATATAAGTGCAATATACACATACTGAACAGAACTGACACTGTTGCAACTTTAAGTCCTCAAAAAATTGAAATTCATATAGATTACAAAGATAGCAAGATATTAGGCCTCTTTGTTCAAAGTACTTGTCAGTCACACAGGAAGACAGCCCAAGCACTTGCACTTAATAAGTCTGAGCAGCACATAGGCTGGAATGCACAACAATCATTAAAACTATTAAAGGAGAAAAATTGAATTCACTGGGAGATAATAAAAGGTAATCTACAGGAAAGACTGTTCTCACCATGAATAGGGGAACACAAAACCAAACCAAACAAAACAACATTGCTGATCATGAGAGGAATAGAACAGCTCCTTTCCGAAAGGTTCAAAAGTGCTGGGCAAACAAATGGATGCTGAAAATAAGTGAAAATGAAAAGCATCCTGTGCAACACTGGACATAATCCTTTCACAGTGCTTTGCACTGGTACAGCCCCCTGCAGCACCATGACCTTTTTGGGGTGCTGAAACCTGAGAGCAGCACTGACATCTGCACAGGGAAGCGGTGGAAATCCATCCGGGAGAGTGGCCCACGTGGCCCACAGCTTCACCACCATCCGAGGGCAGGCATCAGTGCTTGGCTGTGCTCCTCAGGTGGACGAGAGGGAGGGCAGGAGCAGGGCAGCACTGGGCTCAGGCTACAGCAGGGTCTGCTGGATTATCCCCCTGTGATCTGACAGCCCCAGGAAAAAGTGAGGAGAGGGAGAACTGGGTAAAGTGACAGGAACAGCAGCAAGACAAATTTCAAGAAAACACAAAAATGTCACAGTGGAAGCCACACGTGCTGTTAGGTCTGCCGTGTGTGACACACCTGGCGCACCCCGCGTGTGACACACCTGGCACATGGAGTGTGACACACCTGGCCCACCCCGTGTGTGACACACCTGGCCCATCCCGTGTGTGACACAGCCGGCGCATGCCATGTGTGACACACTTGGCACACCCTGTGTGACACACCTGGCGCACCCCACGTATGACACACCTGGCACATGGAGTGTGACACACCTGGCACATGGAGTGTGACACACCTGGCGCACGCTGTGCCGGGCAGCCCAGCGCCTCCCTGCGCAACCTCCCGCATGTGCCAGCATGCCAGCAGCAGGACAGCACAGGACAGAAAGCACTGCCCTTCATCAAAACACAGGGAGAAAGAGCAGCTAAGCTCAGCCGGGGTGCGGGGCTTTCCAGGAATACATTCCATGGTCAGCCCAGCCAGCCCTGGCTCCGGGGTCTGCGCAGGCAGCACCGTGCCCAAGGCTTGGCCTGTGGGAGGGTTTGGAGCATCCCTGGCCACCACCACACCCAACAACCACCAGAGGCAGAGGACAGGAGT